CGCATGAGGGGGTCACGTCGACACTTGCAACAGAGCTGTGGAGTACGACTAGCAAAATCCTTTGCGATTGGAGTACGCCGCCGCCGCAGACCCAGACTTCTCATGGGGGCCGGCAGGGGGGCATACCCCGAAGCTCCAAGTGGCGAGCTCCGAGGTGGCCCCGCAAGGGAGGCTCGCTACCTGGTGAGTACGAATTCCTACGGGTCAGTGCGGGGGGAGCAGCTGTTGGCCTTATCGCGTGCCCAAGACGATGGGGACGCGCTGGGTGAGCAGGGCTCCCAAGCAGGGGGGAGGACGACGACACAACCTCACTAGACACAGGGAAGAGAGGAGAGGATGCAGGAGGCCCTTTCGTGCCAAGTTTTGCTGGCGGGACCCAAGTATGCTCTACCCACGAGCTTCTGTGCCCACGCTCCTACCAGAGCCTCTCCATTTCTAGGCTCACGTTTCTCCGTGGGCATGCTGGCCGTTGGCTGAACCATGCAATCTCGTGTCTGACACAGTCCTGTGACGCAGCAGTCTGAGTCCAAATTCTCTGCAGTATACCAATTGCACCTTGAAGTGCCCCCTGCCAGTCGGCGTGTAAGTAGGGGCGAGCAAACCTATTGTTGTCGCGGCTTGTGAGAGGTTTCCCCTATCTGTCTGCGATGTAGAACACGTACCACTGTCGCTTCGAGAGAGGAGGGGCCATTCGGGATACACTCCAGTGGCTTTTGTGGCGGTCTCGTTTTCCACTCGTCGCCCCCTGTGGTCGTGTACCTGTCGGTGCTCCAAAGAACACAAAGACGCTGATTTACGCGAGTTTCTCCCCTAAGGGTCCTCACGCCGAGATGTCCCCGCTAGTGACAGTCCCTCTGAGCTCATCTGTCGCAGCGTGGGCTGCGCTGGCGTGTCTGCCTGAGGTCGCAAGGGGTCGGGAGTTGGGGCCGCGTATCAGGAAAGCACAGAAGCGGATGATTGGGGGGTACTTCCTCGCCCGCTGCCGAGGGGTCGGGTCTGTGGAACTCGGGGAACGGTGTGTGTGTGTGTGTGTGCGGATGCGGGTGCGTGTGTGTGCGTGTGTGTGTGTGTGCTGTGTGTGGGAGCGTGCGTGCGTGTTGTGTGCTGTTAGTTGTGGGTTGTGTCTTGTGTGCTGAATGTTGTGGGTTGTCGGTTGTGTGTTGTGTGTCGTGTGTTATGTGCTGGGGGGTTGTGGGTTGTCCGCTGTGTGTTGTGTGTCGTGTGTTATGTGTTGTTTGCTGTGCGTTGTGTGTTGTGTGTTTTGCGTTGTGTGTTGAGTGTTGTGCGTTGAGTAGTGTGTGTTGTGTGTTATGTGTTGTGTGCTGTGTGTTGAGTGTTGTGTATTGGGTGTTGTGTGTTGTGTTTTGTGTGCGTTGTGTGTTGTGCGTTGTGTGTTATGTGTTGTGTGTGTGTGCGTGCGCGCGTGCGTGTGTAATTTCGTGCGTGCGTGCGTGTGTGCGTGCGTGCGTGCGTGCGTGCATGTGTGTGTGTCCGTGCGTGCATGCGTGCGTGCGTCCGCGCGTGCGTGCGTGCGTGCTTGCGCGCGTGCGTGTGTGTGTGTGTGTGTGTGTGTGTGTGTGTATGTGTGTGTGTGTCTGCGCGTGCGTGCGTGCGCGCGTGCGTGCGTGCGTGTGTGCGTGCGTGCGTGCGTGCGTGCGTGTGTGCGTGTGTGCGTGTGTGCGTGTGTGCGCATTTGCGTGTTTACGTGTGTGTGTGTGTGTGTGTGTGTGCGTGTGTGCGTGTGTGCGTTTGAACGCGTGTGAACGCGTGTGAACGCGTGTGAACGCGTGTGAACGCGTGTGCGCACGTGTGCGTGTGAACGCGTGTGCGTGTGGTCGTGCGTGCGTGCGTGTGTGTGTGTGTGTATGTACATGCGTGTGCCTTTGTGTGGGAGTTCGCGTGTGCGTGTGTGTGTATGTGTGTGCGTGTGCGTGTGAGTGTTTGTGTGTGAGTTTGCGTGTGAGTGCTTGTGTTCGTGTGCGTGTGTGGACGTTACCTGCATCGGTCTACCCTTCCTCGGTCTGAACCCCCCATCGGCACACGTTCGATCGTCATCAATCTTAGCACGTCCCGCTGTTCCCTCGCTGCGTCGTTGGCCCAACCGGCCTCGAAGCCAAAGTGTGTGTGTGTGTTTGTGTCTGTGTGTGTGTGTCTATGTGCCTATGTGTCTGAGTGTCCGTGTGTCTGTGTATATGTGTGTCTGTGTGTGACACGAAATGTTTGTGTGTTTGTGTTGTTATATGTGTGTGTGTGTGTTTTTGTGTTTGGGTGTTTATGGGTTTGTGTGTTTATGTGTTTGTGTGTGTTTTGTGTTTTTTGTGTGTTTGTGTGCGTTTTGTCTGGAGCCGCCGCTGGCCCCCCGCCCCGGCGCCCGCCCAGCCGCGGCCTGGCCCTGCTCTGAGCGGGCCCGGCTTCTTCTGCCTCCCGCCCGCGCCGGGCCTCCTCTCTTCTCCCGCGTGCCCTGCGGCTCAATTCGCGTTTGGCGTGACGCACTGATGCCACATCGCCGGAGCAGTCCCTCTGCCCAGCCGCCGACGTAAAGTTCGTTTGGACATATGTCCGCCCCTGCGGGCGGGCAGATATCCACCTCCGCCAGTCGTGGGGGTCCCACCAAGGGCGCAGCTCCAAGGCGCGGCGGTGGATGCCCAGACCTCCGACGCCACGATTTTTGTCATGACGTGGACTCCCAGAGGTCTGGGGCCCATTCGCTCGTTCCTCATCCCAGGTCCTTCCTGGACGGCCCCGAGGCCCAGCAAGAGGGCCACCGGACGCCGAAAGCATCGATCCCTCCACGGAAGAGTGACCTCTCGCCAGAGTGACCGTTGGGTGCGGGCCCACGGGCCCCCGCCGGCTGGCCGAATGCGATACGATGGCAGCGGCCCGTGCACCTGGTTTGGGCCCCCATCGCGGCCCCCAAGACGCCGCGCACCAAAGGTCGCTCTGGCCCAGGTTCCCTCTTGCGTCTAGCCGAGCAAGGGCCCCCTTAGCGTCCCAACATCGACCCCAGGAGTCGTTCTTCTCCACGGCCCCGAGGCCCGGCAGGTGCCCCCGGACGCCGAAGGTGGCGCGAAAGTTCCCGTCGGGACCTTGTCGTGCTCTGCGGGGGGCCATTGGCGTGGGCGTGCTCGGGCGGTGGAGCTCGTCGTCGTCGTCGTCGTCGTCGTCGTCGTCGTCGTCGTCGTCGTCGTCGGCGCCGTCGTCGTCGTCGTCGTCTGTCGTCCGTCGTCCGTCGTCGTCGGCGTCGTCGTCGTCGTCGTCCGTCGTCGTCGTCCGTCGTCGTCGGCGCCGTCGCCGTCGTCCGTCGTCGTCGCCGTCGTCGTCGTTGTCGTCGTCGTCGTCGTCCGTCGTCGTCGGCGCCGTCGTCGTCGTCGTCGTCGTGCGTCGTCGTCGTCGTTGTCGTCGTCGTCGTCGTCGTCGGCGCCGTCGTCGTCGTCGTCGTCGTCGTCGTCGTCGTCGTCGTCGTCGGCGCCGGCGTCGTCGTCGTCTGCGGTGGAGTTTCCACGGCGCCCCGGCGCCAGGGCCCGGCGGGCGCGCCTCCCCCGCTGTCCCCCGCCCCGGCGGGCGGCGTCCTTCGGCGGCGCGCTCAGGGGGGGCAGCGAGAGGGGGCGGGCCTGCGCAGAGGGCTCGGAAGTCCCTCGGCCTTTTGTCGGGGGCGGCGAAGAGGGGGGGGACGATGAGGGGGGGGTGGATATCATGGCGGGGGCCATGGTATTTCCTCAGATTTCATGGCGCCTCTTCTCGTTTCACTACGTCGCTGGCCCCCCCCGCTGGGCCGCGCACATGCCGCCGGTCATGATTTGCACCCCCCCCTCTTGGACACCCCCCTCTTGGCCGCCCCCGATTTTGAGGAGTTCTCTAAGTCAGGCACCCGGAGACCAGGACATAGACCAACCAGGACATTGAGGGGAACGAGCCATGACATAAGCATAACATCTCGGAAGTCCGCGCGGATTTCTCGCATCGGCGCTGAAGCCCCCTGGCGGCGCCTCCGGCGCCGCCCCTGGCGCGCTCCGCGCGTCAGGGAGGGGGGTCAGCGCCGATCCGAGAAATTATGTTTATGCCATTGTTCGTTCCCCTATCTAAGTCAGGTACCTGGAGACCAGGACACAGACTAACCAGGACACTGGCAAATCGGGGAAGCGACACCCGTTCCTGCCAAGTCAGATTTGGCGATCCAGTGCAGTTCTCTTCTGCTGCGCTACAGGACTCGGGTCTTCGCCCGGGTCTTGGGACCTTTCGCATGCTTCCAGGGCCTGTGTCCAGGGGTACTCCAGGAATTATGTTACGGTGCCGTTTTCTTTTTCCTCGTGCCGCCGTCTGGGACAATCGGTCTCGAGAGATGCTGCATGCCCGGGTCTAGCGTTATGTCGGGCGTGTCCCCCTAAAGGGGAAGTTTCGACGAAAACTAAAGAATACCCCAGAAATACCCCCAAAAGTCAAAAAATACTAAAGACATAGTCCCCCGACTATTCTTGGACTATTTTTTGAGTAGTCTGGGGATTTTTTTTGTTCGTCGAAGATGCCCCTTGTAGGGGGACACGCCCGACTTGAGTCTAGCGTGTCCTGGTCTGCGGCTGCGGGGCGCTGGCGAAGCCCTGCCCGAGGGCGCAGAGGAGAACTTCCCGGACGGCCCGAGGGCAACCCGAGGCGCCCCGCCGCCTGCCGAGAGGGCCCCCTCCTTCTGAGAGGGAGAGGGCCCTCTCGGCAGGCTTCGTCGGTCGCCGTCGCCGCCGTCGTCGTCGGTCGTCGTCGTGCGTCGTCGCCGGTCGTCGTCGTCGGTCGTCGTCGTCGTTGGTCGTCGGCGTCGGCGTCGGTCGCCATCGTCGTCGTCGTCGTCGTCGGTCATCGATTTTCGTCGTCGTCCGTCGTCGTCCGTCGTCGTCGTCATTCGTCGTCATCGTCGGTCGTCGGCTGTCGCCGTCGTCGTCGTCGTCGTCCGTCCTCATCGTCGTCGTCGGCGTCGGCGTCGTCGTGGCCGCCGCGAGCGGGCACTGGCCGAGGCTCTCTTCGACAACATGCAGCCGCCGTTGCCCACGCCCGCGGGGGTCGCCAAGAAGATCAAGAAGGACCCCCCCGCCAGTCGCAGAACGACCACGGCGTAGCTGGTGTGGGCGTGCCGCGAGTTGGTCCAACAACCGGTCGGGCTTACACCTTAGGCGATGCTTAAGAAAACTTAAGTTTTCGGCCAGAGTCTCGATTATTCTTAACGTTTCAATGTAAATCTTAAGATTTGAATCGAAATCTGTGGTTTTTATTCAAGTTCTGAGACTATGAATTTCTTAACCCATGATTTCTTAAGAAATTCGCAGGGTGTAGGGCGGGACGCGTCGGTATCTCCTTACGGCGACAATCTACGGTCGGGGCAGGAAGGGAAGAGGGAGCGGCCGTGGCACGGCCAGAGAGCTCTCAGACCATGTCGATCTGCAAGCGGCTCCCATTACCAGTTTGAAGCATATCCCTATCCCTATGTTTGACATCACCTCACCTCGATGCCGATCTTAAGGATTCTCTCAGTTTCTGAGGGCCTGTCCCTAAGATTGACCTCGCTGTTTGCTCGCCCATCTTAGGGATAGGGATAAGTTCGAGGCTGGTTATTTCAGTCGATTGCAAAAGCGCACAAACATGATTTCTGAGAGCCCCGCGCGGGTTCCTTGGATCGGCGCCGGGCCCTCCTGGCGGAGCCTCCGGCGCCGCCCCCGGCGCGCTCCGCGCATCGCCCGGGGAGGGGGCCCCGCGCGGATCCAAGAAAGCCGCGCGGACCTCCGAGACGTCAGGGCCGGACCTAAAAAACGGTGTTTTGTCGACTTCGTGGGCCGTTTTCGGTTCGATGTCGTTTTGCGGTGAAGGCGGACCGAAGACGAAACGAGAGGGAAAACGAGAACAAAACGAAAACCAAAGAAACGTGTGGGTTCAGCCCTGCGAGACGAGCTTGTGCGGTTGTGGCTCCCCTGCTCAGGGGCAGCGCAAGGAAGGGGCAGCCTCAGGGGGGACGCATCGACCCCCAGTCGCCCATGGATCGCCGAGGGGAGCCCGATCGCCCACCCCTGCCCGCGGGCGTGCGGGTTCGCCGGCGAGGGCTATCGCCGATGTGTTGGCGACGTATCGCCGATTCCAGCTCGACAATTCCCCCCCTGAGCCGGGCCCCCCCCCTGACGTTGCCCCTCATTCCCTCCTTGTCCCTCCTCCTCCACTCTCCCCCGGTCTCCTCGAAGCCTTGTTCCGAGCGTCTCAAGTCTCTGTTCACCATGCTCTTCTGCGCTTGCGCACACGCTCCGCCGGGATCCCTCGTGGGCGCGCCCCTTGGAGTGGGCGCCAAGCGAGCGTGTGCCCTTGTTCGCCTTCAGCGGCCCGTCGAGCGCCGCGCGATGGACTCCCTCAGGCTACGTCCGCTTCGCTCCTCCTCCCTCCTCCTCCTCCTCCTCCTCCTCCTCCTCCTCCTCCTCCTCCTCCTCCTCCTCCTCCTCCTCCACTCTGCCCCGGGCAGTGGCCCGGAGAGGCAAGGCGGCCCCCCCCCACCTGCAGGAAGGCGAGGGCTTCGCTTGCGGAGGTCTCCTCGTGACCCAACAGGGGGTCGTCAGCTGAAGGGATGTGGTGAAATAGATTTTGGGCGATTGTATTGCAAATGTACTGCGCCAGAGAATTGGATTGCATTGTGTTGCAGCGAATGCACTGCACGCGAAAATCCAGCATTAAATTTTGCGCACTGGCAGGTATTGCATATGCACACCCCAATCCCTAGTGCGACCCCACAGGTCTACTGCACCCCTCCCTTTTCGCTGGACCCCGCCCTGGGTCAACCAGAATCAAGCAGTAGCGAAGCGTCCCGGCGTGCCTATAGCCATACCAAACAATGTTCTAAGAGCCTTTTGTGGCTTCCAGGAAATTTACTTAGAACATGTCTGGCTGGGGCTGTCTTGTTTTAACGCATCGGGGTTATGTTAGAAGAGCATTGTGTTTGTTCTTAGAACATTCTTGGGTTCTTAGAACATGTCGTGGTATGACTACAGGAATGCCGGGACGGTTGGTCTCTGCTCAACAGAAGGTCCTTGGGAAGTCCTCCGTCCCGTCCTGCTGCGGCTGCAGCCCCCCCCCTCCCCCCTCGCGCCCGCTGGCTGGCAGGTCGCGCGCCGTCTGCCCGCCAAGCGGCGGCCCGCCCCGCCAAGCCCTGCGCAGAGCGGTCGGGGTCCCCGCCGGCGTGCCCACTGCTCCGAGGCCAGGATCAGAGCAGCATGTTACAGTGCCGTTTTGAATTCATGCTCCGCGTCCGGATCATGCATTAAACATGCAGGGAATTAGTATCAAAAAAGAACGATGAGTTCACGCATTAATGTATCCATACATTCGTCATGCATTAGAAAACCTATGTTACTTTAACAAAAAACCTAGATTTAAAAAAAACACTGCCCTGTAAGTCGGACATGTCCCTCTGCAAGAGGGAAAGTCAAACATAGGCAAACAAATGTCCGGGGGCGATGCTTCTACCATTTGATACTATGAGTCATCATTGTTCGACTATGTTGCACTGCACTTCCAAAATCCGCCTGCAGGAGGAGATTCCGGACCTGGGACCAGCAGGATGTCATGAGAATGATGCGTTCCAAGATTTTCAGGACCTTCCTGGTCTCTTTGTGCCCCACACGAGCTGCAGCAACTAGACCCGCGATCCAAGATGCCCACGATGAGCCCGAGGAGAAGGACAAGCCGCACACGGTCACGGACGACATGGGTGGAAGTTCATGGTCGCATTTCCAAATTGATGGAAGTGGATGGGCGCATTTCCAAACGTATTTTCCAAGGGGCCAGTATGTCCAAGTAGGTGGAAGTGGATGAGAGCAGATCCATGCGAATCCCCAAGGGTGTGTCCAGCGCGGTCGGCCCTTCAACAGAGTTGGAGAGCATTACTGAGACAGGATGGTGTTCCGTGACTACTTACATCATGCAGTTGAAGCAGATGCCATTGCGCAGTATAGCAAGTGGGTCACCAAGTTGGAGAACGCCATCTTGATAGCGGAAGAGGCTCACTTCGACGAGGTCCAACATTATTATTATGACAGAGCCGCTGACTTTGGGCGATGGGTTCGAGCAAAGCCGACTCCAGGCAGAAATCATGTGAGGTATTGGCCAGCGGAATGCTGGAGCATTCTAGCGGCCGAGATGGCGAGGTACCAGTCCCTGTGCAGAAACGGCACGGATCTGATGCAGCAGAGCGTTTGTTTTCGTCGAGCGCATCACGAACAAGGTCGCGGAGGTGGGTAAGTTGAACAGGAGAGACGCGTACTCAATCAACGAGGGCGAAGCGCAGATAAATATCTACCAGGAGATGCGGGGGAACGTCGCCTACCTCGACGAGGGCCAGCGGCGGCGGTTGGTGGACCTGACGGAAAAGCACCTGGCTACGTCCCACGCGAGAAGCATCAGCTGGGCCAAGAAGACGTGAGCAAGAACAAGGCAGGGGCACTGCGCGGGCACGTCTAACCCAAGAAGGGCATGTCTGACACGATTGGCATCGCTGACCCCGCCGACGTGATGAAGATACAGGCGGGCACACTGGGCGCCACATGGCAGGGCCCACCTGGGCGGCAGCCAGCATCGGAAGCCGGGCAAGGGCTGCTAAGTCCGTGGCTGCTAAAATCGTCCTCCGGGAAGTTGTTTTCGTCCTTCCGGGAAGAAACCCGTTGACTGTTTCGCGCGCCGCGCCTCATTCTGGGAGGTTTTTTTTCTTTCGGGGAGGGCCGTTTTAGCAGCCGCGGTTTTAGCAGCCCTCGCCCAGCTTCCCACAGCACCTTATCTACGAGCTGGAGAGGGCCAGGCGGAGGACCGAGGAAGAGGACGTCGAGCTGCTGGACATGAGCAATGCCCGGGGGGGGGGGGGGGGCACCCCGGAGCCAGCGGCGCGTCCGAGGCGAAGGGGCTGGGCCACCTTGGAGTCGAGGGCGCGGGCGGGCCCGGGACGACGGGGAAGGGGGGGGCTGCTCGGGAGTCTCCAGGGACGCGAGGACAAGCGAATCTGGCCGCGACAGTGCCGTGCTGTGCGTTGTGTGGTGGTGCCCGAACCAGGCGGAGGTGAACGCGCTCTGGGCACGCCGCCGCTACCTGTCAGATTATGGCGCCGTTCCCGGGGAGGCTGCTGTGCGCAGTGGAGAGATCAGTTGGAGGCGCACTGGGGCACGGGGCAGGGGGAGTTTTGCCGTGCTAGCGGGGCGATGGATGACCTGCCTCGACGAGGCGGGTATATAGAGCTAGGGATGACGGCCATGCAGCTCCTGCTGGATATCGAGAATGTCTATAGCGCGGCGTCGTTGGTCATACTCTTGCCGATACCAGCTCGCTCCGTGTTTTCAATTGTTGCCGCAGGGCTGGAGATGGTTCTACGTTATCTGAAGGAGAGTCGATTTTCAGTGGCGCTGTCTGGCCGACGAGGTCAATATTGGCAGGACCTGCGCGCGGCGTCGCACTCGTGAATTTTCTCCCGCGCCCTATGCTGGAACACACGGAACGATATCTCGCCCAGAGCGGGTCGGTGGACATTTGTTGATGATACCATGGTCTGGCCGAGGGCAGCACCAACGCGATCGTCGATGAGATGCCGAAGGTGGCCACGCTGTCGCCCGACGGGCTGATCGAGCAGAGAATGACGGTCTCCAGCAAAACCACGGTGGCCAGCATGGACACCAGCAGATGCAAGGTTGCCAAGGAGCCACGAGGAAGAGGTGCTCCTGCTACGGAGGCGAGTACGGCGGTCGATCTCGGTCGATCTCCTCCTCCTCCTCCTCCTCCTCCTCCTCCTCGTCCTCCTCCTCCTCCTCCTCGTCCTCCTCCTCCTCCTCCTCCTCCTCCTCCTCCTCCTCCTCCAAAGGTAGAAAGCCAGGCGGGCCAAGGCCAGGCACAGGTGCGCCAAGATGCGACGGCTCCGCAGAGTTGCAGCGCCGCCCCGTGAATACAGAGGGCCGCTCAGCGCGGGTTTGTTCTTCGGCGACGGCCCAGGTGGCGCGCATTCGGATGATCCCAGACGCCGCGGGTCCGGCGATGAGTGGATGCTCGCTGCCGCCGTAGCCGAGCCTCTGGCTGGAGCGCGCCAGACCCCGCCAGAAGCTTTCGCCATGGCTTTGGAAGAGATTCGCGGTTCGCTTGTGTCCGTCACGGACCACCCGAACATCCAGAGGACGCGGAGAAGTAAGATATCCCTTGGCCAGAGCCCGCGTCGCATGGTCTATCAGGCCAGACTTTGCCTCTGCGGCGTTGCAGTGGGCCCCATCTCGCACCGAGGAGACTCCAGGACTCCTCCTCGGCGATCGCGAGTTTCTCTCACCTGCGGGCAACCACATTGCCGACATATGGGCGAGGGAGGGGGCGGAGCTTGCGCGGGAGTTCGGGCTGGCGGGACAGAGGCCCGACATTGACAGGATAGACTTGTTTGTGCACGTGGTCCGCAGGAAGGCCAGGCGAGCTTTGCTAGACTCGGCGCAGGCGGAAGCCGAGCACAGAGGCGAGCGCAAGTCGGACAAACGCGCCAAGTTATCTAAGAAGGAGCTGGCCGTCGCCAAATCAGGCCACCGCCACAAGTGTTTGCAGCTTGCGACCTCGGCGCGCGCTGGCCACCCCACGCTTCCAAGAGCGACGGCCCTCGCGAGGTCGCGCCTCATGGCCAGCAGTGTCTCAGTAGCTACCAGTGCACGCACAGCGTCTCATATGGAGAGCGCTGCTTCCTGTCGTTACGTTCCAAGTTCAACATGTTGGCGGCTTTGGATACCAGACATATGGTCAAGTCTTGTTTTGGGACTGCCCCAACAGGGGTCGAGGACATCGAGAGAATCCAGACAGGATGAGAGAGGATTTCCATGACCGTGGTAATCATCATGATTACCTGGAGACAATGCTAGCGTCGCCGTTGGATTTGAGCAAGGGCAGCGTAGATTGGCGCGCGCAGGACTTGCATGACCTCAAGATAGGGGAAAGGCTCTTCGATCTTGCGACTGATGAGGTTCAGTATCGGAAATAAGTGGGAGTTAAAACGTTCTGGATGTTTAAAGTTTGCAGAGAAGCTGTGATAAGGATGAGGACGATTCTGATGATGATGAGGATGAGGACGAGGATGAGGATGAGGATGAGGATGAGGATGATGATGATGATGATGATGATGATGATGATGATGATGATGATGATGAGGATGAGGATGATGATGATGATGATGATGATGATGATGATGATGATGATGATGATGGGGATTCCGACCCAGGCGACCCGTGGCAACGAGTCCTCTCGACGTTTGTGTAGATACGAGCAGCGAGACCGACTGCTACCCCGAGATCCGTCACGAGCACTTCGCTAATTTCATCATTGTGCCCGTGGTGTTGAGCAGCGTGTTTCATGCAATTGCACCGAACGTCCTTTCGTAGTGGCGTGCCATGTTTGTTTCTCTCCATCGTTCCGATCTCGCCCTTCTTCCACTTTCGTTGTTCCTGGCTTCCCCGCTCTTCGCTTCCTCCGTGCATTACGCAGGCGCGACCATGCAGCATTTCGATGCGACTGTTTGCAGTTGTCGAGCTCGGGCCTCAAACACTGGAGTTGCGCCGCAGTTCACCCTCTTCCTCCTCCTCCTCCTCCTCCTCCTCCTCCTCCTCCTCCTCCCTCTCTTCCTATTCCTCCTCCTCCTCCTCCTCCTCCTCCTCCTCCTCCTCCTTCTTAGTTCTCTCATTCCGTGAATGGTGATTTCCTAGCGCGGTCGTGGATTGCCCTTCGAGCAGCCTTGAGGGGGCCGGGCCCCCCCGAGCAGGAGGAGAGGCGCTTCGGCCCTGCGCCTGCTGCAGGGCCGAATGTCCTGCCAGTCCAGCTTCAAGGGCGCAGCACCCCAGAATTGCTCAGAAGAGGAAACACGGACCGATACCGCTGCCGTTGCCTCGCCTTCGCCTTTTGTTGGGGCCTCCCTGGGAGGCCCTCGTCGCGAGACCGCTGGGTTCGCCTCGGGCTCCCGGTCGGAGCGTGACCTGGGCGAGATCCAGGGAGGAGCGGCATCGGTATCTGCTGGTTTTGCGGAGGAGGGAGAGGGGGCGGGCGGGCGCGGAGCGGGTCGCGGTCGGGTCGCGGGGTGGGTCGCGGGGTGTGTCGCCGTTGGTGGGTCGTCGGTGGGTCGTTTGGGGGGGGGCGGCAGCAGCGGCAGGCAGCAGACAAGCAGAGGCCGAGCCGCGGAGGCGCACTGCAGCCGCCGGCTCCCGGGGGCGGTGCGAGACCCGTCGGGCCGCCCCACGCGGACCCAGGGCCTCCCAGATAGGGGGGCATGATTATGCGAACCCGACCCCCCTACCCCCCACGATTTTTGAGGGAGAGGGTGGGGTTCACTTCGCTCGGGAGCTCCCGAGCGAAGTGAACCGCACCCTCCCCTTCAGAAGTCGTGGGGGGTAGGGGGGTAGGGTTCGCATGTGGCCCCCTACCAGACGCGCTCGCGGCGTGAAGCAGTCGCGGCGGGACAGCTGCAGGGCCCCGTGGAGCAGAATGGCCGGGACGAAGAGCATCCTGCGAGAAGACGCCGAGATCTCGGGAGGCTCCGCATTGGAAGCTATCCAGGTCTCGAGCAGTGGCGAAGCGCCCCGGCTTGTCTACAGGCCCACCAAAAAGAACTGATTGTGGTCTGCACGGGATGTTCTTAGAACAGTTCTGAGAGATAATGCCTTGGCATGACGCATCGGTTTGGGTTGCAGTCTAAGAACACGGTTTTTGTGCTTAGAACATGTCTGGGTTCTGAGAACATTGCGTGGTAGGCCTATAGGAATGCCGGGACGGTCGGTCCCTGCTCGAAATGTTTGGGAGGTATCGGCTCCATGCGACTCGAAAGGATGGCGCCGTATTTTGTTGTCCGTCCGACGGCCATCCTCGCGCCTTGGGGCCGTCTGCAAGAAGGTCCGGGAACGAGAGCATGCAAACAGAAACGGGGAAGTGGTCGAGCGTCGTGGGGGCGTGGATTGCAGAAACCACGACGACGGAGGAGTGGGATCAGAGGTTGATAGATGGGGACGATCGAAATGGGTACTGAAAGAATTGCTACAATGACCGACCGCATCTCCTGATCATTTCGAGCAGGACTCGCTGTCCGCGCCGCCGAGGACGCTGTTCACTGAAGGCAGAAAGCTGCCTGCCCAACGGCGGCCGCTGTCGGTTTTGGACAACAGTTGTTGGGCATTGTGCCAATGTTTTCCGCATAGTGGAGGCCAGTCCACAAGAAACCTTCCACAAGAAGCCCAACCTTGGAATCGAATCCCGGGGAACCCAGGGCACCCTGGAGGCAAGCAGGGCGCTTCTTGCCATGGGTCTCCACTGTACCCATTTCGGACGTTCAAAGCAGAACTGCAACTCCGCCGAGTCGATTGGCGACTTGCCTTCCCCAGCTCGAGAGGGCGCTGCGGCGGCAATTTTTTGCGGGCTTGCGCCCGCCGGGTCATCGTCCCCGGCCATATTCTCGTGTCTGGGCGCTCTGCTAAAAACAAGCGGGTCGGTCCGTCGCGGGCCCCCAAAGGAGCGCGGTGACCACACCGTGTGGTGAGTGAGTGAGGGTTCGGGAGAAGCGCCCAGCTTTAGGATTCAGTCGGGCGTCTCCCTCTACAGGAAAGAGTCAACGATGGTCTGCGAAGGGTTTCTCGATTGTTCTTTATACAATGTTTGCGTATTTCTTGGGTGTGCTTCTATTTCTGTCGCCCGAAATCCGTTTCTAGGAGGACATGCCCGACCTAATTTTAGCACTTGGGTCCTTCACCGCGGATGCCTCGGTTGGGGCCCCAAGGGTCCGAAGCCTTGCGGTGACGGACCATGCGGAGAGGTCGAGGGGGGGGATCCCCGAGCCCACCGCGCCGTTTCTGCAAGCCCGCGCACCCCCTGACGGGAGTCTGGGTACAGTGGGAGCCCATGCCAAGAAGCATCTTGCTTGCCTCCAGGGTGCCCTGAGTTTCTTGGGGTGTCGATAGTTTTGCCATTCTGGACAGCGTGGAGTGCCCACACCCCAAATCAATGGACGTCCTGGGGTTCCAGGGTTGGGTGTCTTGTGAGAGGTTTCTGGTGGTCGAGCTCCTACTGTAGACGCCACGTGCCACCCCGAGGCAAGAGCCCGACGCACGCACGGCCCGCGTGCTGCCCCGGGTGCACGGCCCTCCATCCTGTCCTGGGCGCATCCTGGCGCGCGTGCCCTCCGCAGCGCTCCGCGCGTGAGCCCCGGCGAGCGCGCCGACGGCGACGGCGAGCGACGAGCGAGCGTCGGCGAGCGGCGGCGGCCGCGGCGGGCGACGACGAGCGAGAGGACGGCGGCGGGCGAGGACCGCGGCGGCGAGCGACGGCGGCGGCGGCGAGGGCGACCCGTGACGAGCGGCGGCCGGCCCGCGAGGACCTGGACTCCTTCAAGCAGCACCTGCCGCTGATCCACGCGCTGTGCAACCCGGGCCTCCGCCAGCGGCACTGGGACTCCATCTCGGAGGCCTGGGCCTGCCGCCTCGGCCCCCCCTCGGCTGCCGCTGCGGCGCCCTCCTCGCCCCTCCTCGCCCCCTCCTCGCCCTCCCCGCCCTCCGCGGCCTCCGCGGCCTCCGCGTCCTCGTCCTCCTCGTGCTCCTCTCCCCTCTGTGCGGCCGAAGACGGCAGGTCAGCTTCCCAAGATCGGTGGTGGTGCGGCACCTTTCTGGGGAGACGGCGCCGCGCTTCGAAGCCCGTGCGGCGGGTTATGCGGCGGCTTGCTTGAGCTCGCAGCGTGTCCCGAAGGGCCTGTTCCAAGCGCTCCCCAATACGCGTGCCCGGAAGCTTTCCAGAACGTTCTCTCGGAAGCTCTCTCCAGGCCCTGCCAGCATGGCTCGCCAGGGCCTCCCACGCTGTTCTTGCGCCCTGCTATCGGGGTAACTCGTAGAGCCGCAAGGAACGAGGGGCGGGACGACGAGGAGGAGCTCCTCGCTCTTGGGAGACGGCACCGCTCCTCGAGGCTGTGGCGCGGCACCTCTCTTGGGAGACGGTGCCGCTCTTCGAGGCTTGAGCGGCGGGCTCTGCAGCGAGTCCGCTTCCTGCCGAGGAGGCGGCCACGAGGCACAAGCCTGGACGCCCGAAATGGGTGCGGCAAGCATGGGCACAGGGCCCAGCAGCAGCTCCTGTTCACTTTGAACAGGACTCGCTGTCCACGCCGCCGCGGCCGGTGTCCATTCGAGACAGACGGCCGCCTGCCCAACAGCGGCCGCTGGTTGGTCTGGGGCAACAGTTGTTGCCGGGCATTGTGCCCATGTTTTCCGTACCCATCTCGGGCGTCCAGGACAAGGGGCGGGACGCGGAGGAGCTCCTCGCGGCGCGTCCGCCCGCTGCCGCCTCCTCCCTGCCCGAGAGCCTGCGCCGCGGTGCCCGCCGCCGCCCCGCGCGGCCCCCCGTCGGTCCCGCGCGCGCTGCCACGGCCACCGCTGGGGTGGCCTACAGGACATGCCCGTGCCAGCGGGGGTCTGGGGGCCGTCCAACGAGATCGCCTGCCTCTCAGGAGGGAAAGTAACACACAGACGCAACTCATCGTCGATTCACCCGAGGATATGGGAAACTATGGGAAGTGTGAGGGGGGGGGAAGACGAAAACCCAGAACAATCTTGGAACAGATGGGGAATCTTTTTGTTTGTGTGCATTTATTTGTGTGTCCTGCGCCCCCTTCAGTTTGGGCCTTCCAACGAGACCGCCTGCCTCGCCGAGGGACGGGAGGTGGCCGGGAGTCTGCCCAGGAGCTTGCCCCTGCGGGGACCAAACGACTTCCTGTGGTCTCGGCGGGGCCTCCTCTCGCTCGTCGTCCTCGTACTCCTCCTCCTTCTCCCCCTCCTCCTCCGTCTACCCTTTTTCCTCCTCACCCTGCGTCCTCTCGCTCGTCGTCCTCGTACTCCTCCTCCTTCTCCCCCTCCTCCTCCGTCTACCCTTTCTCCTCCTCACCCTGCGTCCTCTCGCTCGTCGTCCTCGTACTCCTCCTCCTTCTCCCCCTCCTCCTCCGTCCGCCCTTTCTCCTCCTCACCCCGCGTCCTCCTCCCTCTGGCCCCCCCATCGCTCCCTCCCTGCCTCCGCCGTCCTCGTGCCTCCCCCCCATCGGTCCCTCCCGCCCTCCTTCCTCCCCCTCCCCCCCTCCTCGACCCACTCTCCTCCTCCCCCCTGGCTCGGGGCGGGGGGCGATCCACGAAGTCAGCCCCGCCCCCCCCCTGTTCAGTGGTGGCCGGCTCCGCCCCCCCCCCCCCTGCCTCCTCCTCCCCTCCTCCTCCTCCCTCCTCCTCCTCCTCCTCCTCCTCCTCCTCCTCCTCCTCCTCCTCCTCCTCCTCCTCCTCCTCCTCCTCCTCCTCCTCCTCCTCCCGCCCCCTGCCCCGTTGCTCGGGCAAGCTGCTGCCCGCCTCCCCTCCTCCCCGAGCAGCTGCGCGTGGGGAGCCGGCCGTTCTCGGCTGCTTCCGGCGTCCTGTCCCGCTCGCGGTTGTCTTGCCAGTGTAGTTGTCTCGCGTTCTGGACGTTGCTGCTGTGCGGGGCATGTCTGGGCAAGAATCAGGGGCGCATGCATACCTATACATATCTAAGTTTATATATATATAGAGAGAGAGAGAGAGCGAGAGAGACATACATATATAGAGAGAGCATCACAAAAAGCACGACAACCTTCTCCGTGCGCAGGCCAACAACTTGCGAGTTGTCTGGCCTGGTTGCAGGTTGGTCGTCACGTGACCTTCTTGCTTGGTACAGTCTCGCGGCATGAATCCGTGCAGGTGGTTGGTGACAAGAATAATGATTGACTCCTCGCGTACCCCCTTCAGCCCATCCAGATCTGATGCCCAGGCGAGCCGTTGGGATCCTAGGGCACGCAAGTATAGTGAGCCAGAGGGACTGACAATTGTGACCTTCGAGACTTCAGGGAGCCTCTCGGAGACGCCTGAGAGCCATCGTGGGGAAGACGGCGGAAGCAAGACGACGTCAGCCCTGGAGGCGGAAGGCAGCTGAAGCAAGATCTTGACGCTAACATGTTTGGAGCACGGGCTCACGGAGTCGGCCTGGTGCTCTCGCAAGCTCATCGGCGAAGAGGCGGGATCTCTGGGACTCGGTACGTTTTGCTCTCGCCCCAGATCCTGGCCACCGTAGGCATCCGGAGGCCTGGCAAGGGCTAGGTCGTATCATCCGCCCTGTGGGTTCTCTCTGCTTCCTCTTGTGGCCGGTGTGCTCTTACTCCCGGCTTGGGCCTTGGCTTTCACTTGGCATCGCTCGGACGTGTGCATTTTTCCTTCGGCGAGGACCATCTTCGGAGCATCCTGGATCATTTGGCGAAAAAACACGCACGAAACCGAACAAAAACACAGGGAATGGACGTCCGAGCGATGGCAAGTTCAGCATCTGGTGCGTTCTCTCGGTATGGCCGTCCTTGTGTCCAGGCGCTTCCTCGATGCACGCGCGCCTTCGGCGCAGGGAAGCGTCGGGAGAACCAGCCACGCGAGCGGATCCGCGAAACCTCGGGAGGGGAAGCAGCACACAGACACCACGAATCGTCGATGCCCAGGAAGATGTGGAAAAATGTAGACAGTGGGGGGGAAGAAGAACATCTGGAAAACACACGGGTATATGATCCAGGGTGGAATGGCAAGGAGAGGGTCCGAAGCGCCTCCCCCCCTCGAACCGGGAGGCTCGGGGGCAGGACTTGGCACCTCCAGTTGAGCCAGGCGTGTCCCCCTTCTCTCCCCCTCCCTCCTCCTCCTCCTCCTCCTCCTCCTCCTCCTCCTCCTCCTCCTCCTCCTCCTCCTCCCTCCTCCTCCTCCTCCCTCCTCCTCCTCCCTCCTCCTCCTCCTCCTCCTCCTCCTCCTCCTCCTCCTCCTCCTCCTTCACCTCCACAGGAGGAATCTTCAAGAATAGTTCAGCATAGTCTGGTGGCGATGTTCGTGCTCATGTGATGATTTTTGATGATATGCGGACTACTGTACCTTTTCCTTCCAACATCCGCCTGGCAGGAGGACATGCCCGACCTAAACCTCCAGGCCTTCCCCTGGATACTGGAATTCTCCAGTCTCGACCGGCGAGATCGGTCGCCACCGATTTTATTTCAACCTTCGGTGTCGGTCGCGACTGGCTTGCTTCAATATTGGTCGCGACCGATCGGCCGCGACCGTGGCGACCGGCCGCGACCGATTCTGGGATCCGTCGCGATCGGCCCCGACCGATTCGGAGTGCCGATCGGCCGTTGCCGGTCGCGTTGACAAGAATTCCGTATTCAATGATCTGGATAGAGTCGACTAGACGTACAGGCCTCGGAACAAATTAGCGAACACATGCCACATTCATCCGTCAACGCCTCCCCCTCCCCCCAATGTTCAAAGTTGGCGGTGGGTCTGATGAGATGCACTTCGACCGCAGTCTCCCCCGCGCGTGCCAACATTGAGTTTGGGGGGGAGGTGGTGTGTTCAGTAATTGTTTCCCTCTACCTTAAGAGTGACCCTTCGCCGGAGTGACCTTTGCTGCGGGTCCATTGGGGTCCCCCGCTCGCCGAACGCGAGGCCGGCAGCAGCGCCTTGCGTGCTTGGGTCTGGTCCCCCGCGGCCTCCAAGAAGCCGCGCACCAGAGGTCACTCTTGCCCAGGGGTCGCTCCTGCGTGTAGTCCTGAGTCGGGCCTGGCCCTCTACAGGGGGAATACTCAAAAATAGTAAAAAAAACAAAAAAATAGTCTGGGGACGATTTGTTGAGTATGTTTTGGCCATTTGGGAATATGTTTGAAAGTATGTTTTACTTGTCGTTGAAAATCCCCCTGCAGCCCATAGAGGGCGCCGTGGAGGCCCCGTGCCCCCCCCCTCCCCCCCTGCGCCGCGCGGGGGCCGCGCGGAGGCCTCCGACGGCCCCGGCTGGGGCCAGAGGCGCCCCGAAGCCTCGAAGTATAGGGGACCGGCTACAGTCAGGAGGGAAAAACACACACGCACACACACGCACACACACAGACACACACAGACACAGACACAGACACACACACACACACACACACGCACACACACACACACACTGCACACACGCACACACGCACACATATAACTATATATATATATATATACATATATTTATATATATATATATACACAAACGCATATATATATATATATATACATATACACAAACGCACACGCACGCACGCACGCACGCACGCATGCACGCACGCACGCACGCACGGCTACAGTCAGGAGGGAACAAAAACACGCTTTTTTGGTCTGCGGGTCGAGAGCGAGCATCTTCCGGTTAAGAGCCAGGCGGGCCGCGCAAAGCACGAATTGGGGAGACAGGGCGCGGGCGGGCGGGGCCTCAGGCGGCCGGAGGGCGCGGGGTGCAGGCGGTGCTGAAGAGCTTGCACAGGAACAGGTACGCCTTGGACAGGAGCCGGAGGCGAGGAAAAAACAACAAAAAAGCACAGACACCATTCATCTCCGATCCCCCTGGAACAAATGGGAAACTATGGGAAGTGGAGGGGAAGACATAAGCCAAGAGAACATATGGGAAAAGATTGGGACTCTTGTTATTTGTGTGTATGTATTTGCGTGTCCTGAGGCCCCTTCAGTTTGGGTCTTCCAGCGAGATCGCCTGCCTCGCCGAGGGACGGGAGGTGGCCAGGAGTCTGCCCAGGAGGCTGCCCCTGCGGGGGGCCTTGATGCAGAAGCGATGTGCCCAAGAGCGATGGGCCCCTCGCCCCCCCCCAGGCCGCCCCCGGCAGCCCTCCTCCTCCCTCTCCTCCCCCTCCTCCTCCTCCCCCTCCTCCTCCTCCTCCTCCTCCTCCTCCTCCTCCTCCTCCTCCTCCTCCCCCTCCTCCTCCTCCTCCTCCTCCTCCTCCTCCTCCTCCTCCTCCTCCTCCTCCTCCCCTCCCGATGCGGCCTTCTGCGCCTCAAGGGCGCCGGGCCCTCGCGCACCGCCCCGCCCGCGCGGGCCGGGGGGAGGCGCCAGCTGCGCGGCGGGAGCTGCACGGGGGGGCCTGCTGCAGAGCGGGCCCCCCGTGCATGAGGGCGGCGGTGCGCCATGGGGGGGGAGGTGAAGCCCGGAGAGGCTCCGAGGGGCAAGCAGCCCAAGCCTTACGTCGGGCCTGTCCCTCTACAGGGGGAATAGTTCAAAAATAGTCGAACAATAGTCCGGGGACGATTTCTTTGCAGTATGTTTGACAATTTGGGAGTCATTTTCGAGTATCTTTTATTTTTCGTCGAAAATCCCCCTGTATGGGGACATGCCCGACTTAACCCAAGCCCCCCCCCCTAGGGCAGCGAAGGAAAGCACGACGGGAGGTTCTTCTCGCTATTTTCTCGGCCTCTGGATGCCCTTATACTGGCCCGCGGGACCGCCAGAAGACGACTCAGGGTGAGAAGCCGGGAGAGGCTCCGAGGGGCAAGAAGCCCAGACCCCCCCCTCGGGTAGCGACAACAAGCACGAGGGGAGGTTTTTCTCGCTATTCTCTGCCTCTGGAGGCCCTTACTGGCCCGCGGGACCGTGAAAAGACGACTCCGGGTGACAAGCCCGGAGAGGCTCCGAGGGGCAAGACTCCCGAAGAAGGGGAAAAACGGTACATAAACTTTTGGCGCTCCGCGCGGATTTCTTGGATTTGCGCTGGGCCCCCCCAGCGGCGCCTCCGGCGCCGCCCCTGGCGCGCTCCGCGCGCCAGGGGGGGGGGGGTCCGGCGCAGATCCAAGGAATCCACGCGGAGCGCCAAAAGTTTATGTTTATGGCGGTTTATCTTCATCCAAAGAAGCGGGGCTCCAGAGACGGGGGTCAGTGCAAACGGGGGCCAGTCAGAGCGCGGGATCTTGCAGGATCCTGCCTGGCCAGGGGGGGCGCGCTGTCCCGAGTTTGGGTGCAGGATCCCGCAGGACCCTGCAGGATCTTACAGGATCCTGCAAGGCCCGACCGACTCGGGTCCGGACTGACACGGGTCACTAGAACCCCGAAAGAAGCCTGGACTTCCGAGGACACGATGCCCGGACCGAGGATACGATACCCGGACCTCCGAGGGTACCATGCTGCTCGATCCTGGCGTCTTTCCTGGATTTCGGCCTTTGGGCCCCTTATCGTCAGATGAGGAAGAGGTGCCGATTCCACTACCCTTCCCTCGTTTTCCCTTTGTTCGGCCTCGTGTGAGGCCCTCGTCGCCACCGCCGGAATCGCCTCGAAATCTTGGTCAGAAAGCGCCCAGGGAGAGGGTACCTTTTGGCTTCCCCATACTGGGGCTATCAAAAGCGGATCCGGGACGAAAACTACTCCGGGGGACGGAGTCGGGACCTCTGGGGCCGCGCATGGATATCGAAGAAAACGCCAGAAACATGAACTTTTGGCGCTCCGCGCGGATTTCTTTTCTTGGATTCGCGCCGGATCCCCCCCCCGGCGGCGCCTCCGGCGCCGCCCCTGGCGCGCGGAGCGCGCCAGGGAGGAGGGTCCAGCGCAGATCCAAGAAATCCGCGCGGAGCGCAAAAAGTTTGTGTTTATGCAGCGTTCTCTCCCTCCAGGATAGGACCATCACATCGTTTGCTGTTTGGGGAAAGGCGCCGACACGCAAGAGTGACCGTGCGCCTGAGTGACCTCTACATCGGGGGTGGATAGGCCTCCTACCCTGACACGTCGACTAGCGACTTGGCCGTCTCCAGTTCGCGAGAGGGCGTCGCGGCCGTCATTTTTGCGGGTCCAGGTCCGTCGGTTTCGATCCCAGGCCGTTTTCACGAAGGGGAGGTTCACTAAATGGAGGCTTGTCCACCGCCGAAAGCCCCCCCCTCGGGCAGCGGAAAAAGCACGACGGGAGGTTCTTCTTCTCGCTAGTTTCTCGGCCTCTGGAGGCCCTTCTACTGGCCCGCGGGACCGTCCAAAGACGACTCCGGGTGAGAAGCCCGGAGCGGCTCCGAGGGGCAAGACTCTCGAAGAAGAGGAACAATTTTATATATAGCACCCCGCAATTGCGGATAAGAGTGAGGGGGCGGGCGCGGGCGACGCGGGCGTCGTCAAGCCGGCGGACCTCGTGGCCCCCTCCTCCTCCTCCTCCTCCTCCTCCTCTTCCTCCTCCTCCTCCTCCTCCTCCTCCGCCTCCTACTCCTCCTCCTCTTCCTCGTCCTCGTCCTCGTCCTCATCGTCATCGTCGTCCTCCTCCTCCACCTCGTCCTCCTCCTCCTCCGCTTCTTCCTCGTCCTCCCTCTCCCCCCCTCGTCCTTCCATCATCGTCCTCCCATTGTCGTCATGTTCCTCCTCGTCGTCCTCCTCCTCTTCCCCCCCTCCCGATCCTCCACCCTCCTCCTTTTCGTCGTCGTCGTCGTCGTCGTCATCGTCGTCGTCCCCTTCCTCCTCCTCCTCCTGCTGCTCCTCCTCCTCCCTGCTGCTCCTCCTCCTCCTGCTGCTCCTCCTCCTCCTCCTCCTCGTCCTCCTGCAAAAGCAGCCCGCCGCAGGCGCCGAAAAAATTGGTTTGTACACTGAACGTGGTTTGGGTCGCGGGTGGGCCGCGGGTTCTCCACCGGGAACGAATGCAAAAGATGCTCGCCGCAGGCGCCGAAAAAATTGGTTTGTACCCTGAACGTGGTCGCGGGTGGGCCGCGGTCTCTCCACCTAGAACGATTCAAAAGATGCCCGCCGCAGGCGCCGAAAAATGTGGTTTGTACCCTGAACGTGGTTTGGGTCGCGGGTTGGTCGCGAGTTGATCGCGGGGTGGGTCGCGGGCTCTCCACCTGGAAGGAATGCAAAAAAAGCCCGCCGCAGGCGCCGAAAATGTTGGTTTGTGGTTTGGGTTGACGGTGGGTCGCGGGTGGGTCGCGGGGTGAGTCGCGGGTGGGTCGCGGGTGGGTCGCGGGTGGGTCGCGGGCGGGTCGCGGGTGGGTCGCGGGGTGGGCCGCGGGCGGGTCGCGGTGGGTCGCGGGTGGGTCGCGGGTGGGTCGCGGGGTGGGCCGCGGGGTGGGTCGCGGGGTGGGTCGCGGGTGGGTCGCGGGTGGGTCGTAGGGTGGGTCGCAGGGTGGGTCGCGGGGTGGGTCGCGGGGTGGGTCGCAGGGTGGGTCGCGGGTGGGTCGCGGGTGGGTCGCGGGTGGGTCGCGGGTGGGTCGCGGGGTGGGTCGCGGGTGGGTGGCGGGGCGGGTTGCGGGTGGGACGACGACAACAAACAACAACAACAACAACAACAACAACAACAACAACAACAACAACAACAACAACAACAACAACAACCATTACTAGCACGTGGGGACACTCCGTTCTCACCAGTGCCAGGGTTTTCATAGGAGGCGGGCAATACCCCCACTTTGTGGGGGGGCCGGTTCAAGCTCTACCAAATTTCCAAACGACTCTTCGCCACCACCCACACCCAGCTTCCCGCCCTATGACGTTCGGACACTTCACTTCGTGGCATGCGGACGACCGTGGCTACTATTCAGGGCCCCGCGGCCGACGACGACGGCGTGCGCGCGCGAAGAAAAAACGAATGTGTCCCGCATGGTATTATTTGACAGGGATGATGGCCCTGGCAGGTGCGCAACCGTTGTTGCAGAAGTTTGAAAAAGTTGCTCGCAAAAGCCCGTTTGACAGAAATGTTGAAAAAAGTGTTGGGTTTCCTACGAATCCGCAAGAGCGCGCGGGATGAAATTTTGACATTTTTTTTTATATAAAAAAAACCATTGGTTTTTTGATGTTTTATGTTAAAATCGTTACGAAAACAAAGGTTTTGGAAGGATTTCGTCTTGCGCGCGCGAATGTCCACTTTACCTTTATTTTTTGCAAGGGATTATTGAAGTTTGGTTATGTTAGAACAAGAAATGTCAACTTTAGCTTATTTTTTGCAAGGGAAAACCGCCCGTAACAAAACAACCGGATCCGGACCAACCCGTTTTGCCTGAGATTTCCTCACGAAAATGATGAAAACGTGGCTGCGGCCTAGGCGCGGCGGGGGGGCCGCGCACCAGGGGCCCCAACAATAATTATTCTTTAGAAGTAATAATGTTCAACAACAACAACAACAACAACAACAATAACGATAACAACAACAACAACAACAACAACAACAACAACAACAACAACGACAACGACAACGACAACAACAACAACAACAACATCAGCAACAACAACAACAGCAGCAACAATAACAACAACAACAACAATCACAACAACAGCAACAGCAACAGCAACAGCAACAGCAACAACAACAGCAACAACAACAACAAACAACAACAACAACAAACAACAAACAACAAACAACAAACAACAAACAACAAACAACAACAACACCAACAACAACAACAACAACAACACAACAACAACACGAATCCGCACCGCGGAATCTCACTTCAGCCACGCACCCAGGGACAATGAATGACCGTTTGGCCCCCTCACTCTGATTAAGATAAACTTTTGGCGCTCCGCGCGGATTTCTTGGATCTGCGCTGGGCCCCCCCGGCGGCGCCTCCGGCGCCGCCCCTGGCGCGCGCCGCGCGCCAGGGGGGGGCTCCGGCGCAGATCCAAGGACTCCGCGCGGAGCGCCAAAAGTTTATGTTTATGACGTTTTACCTTCTTCCAAAGAAGAGGGAGCACGCTCATCAAGGGGAGCGTTGCTACGAAAGGGAGGCTTGTCCACCGCCGGCTATATATATATATATATATATATATATATATATATATATATATATATATATATATATATAGCGCGGGCGGTGCTCCCCGGGGACCCCCAGAAAGCCGCTGGGGTTGCGAGGCGGCGGCGGCGGCCGGCGCTCTCGGGGGCGCGCCCCCCCCGGGGGGGCCTGCCCGAAGCCGCGCTCCAGAGGCCTCGGCATCGCTCGGACGTGTGCATTGTTCCTTCGGCGAGGACCATCGAGGAGCATCCTTGATCATTTGGGGAAGAATCAGGAGGAAGAAAAACACACAGACACAATTAATCGTCGATCCCCAGCAAAATATGCGAAACTATGGGAAGTGGGGGGGAAGACGGAATTCCAAAAAATATGGGAAAATATGGGGAAACCTTTTATTTGTGTGTATTTATTTGTGTGTCCCAGGGCCCCTTCAAAGAAACCACGCGCGAAACCGAAAAAAAACAAGGGAATGAACGTCCGAGCGATGGCCAGAGGCGGCTCCCGCCCAGGAGCGCGCCTGCGTGGAGTCGGGCGTGTCCCTCCACGGGAGGGGGTCTTCCGGCACAGGTCAAGAGCAGGCAGGGGGCGATGCTTCCCTGATTAAGTCGGGCCTGTCCCCCTAGAGGGGGATTTTCGACGAAAGATATCAAATTCCCGAAAAATAATCCAAGAATAGTCCAACAATAGTCTGGAGACTATTTTGTGAGTATTTGTTTGCCCTTTTTCGGGCATGTTTGGGGTATTTTTATTTGTCGTTGAAAATCCCCCTGCAGGGGGGCACGCCCGACATAATTTTATGATGTTTTGGCTATGTTCTAATATTTGTTTGACAAGTTCTCGTGTTTTCTCGCCCGAAATCCGCTGGTAGGGGGACATGTCCGACCTAACTCTTGCGGCTTGCGTGTAGCCGAGGACCCAGACACGGGTACAGCCAGGACCCCGGTTAAGGGGAGCCGGTTGGTGATTGGGCCCCGAAGCCCAAAATATGGATTGGAATCACTAAACCAGGTCTGCCGTAGCTGGTGTTTTTCGAAGACGGCAGTTCCATTTAGTGGAATGGGACGTCCTGGGGGGGCGTCCCCTGTACAGATCACCAAACCAGGTCCCTTTAAACCCAGTTCTGCCAACGTCCGACAACTTCCTGGCGCTTTGAAAATCTCACGGCACGAGTTTTTGTTTGTGGTTGTTGCTATTTTCGGCCTTCGGGTGCCCTCGCCCAGCCCTAGGACCGTCAAAACAAAACAACGGTCGACCCGGACCCCCGGCGTCGTGATTTCCCCACCACGTCGACCCCCAGTGGTCTGGACCCCCAGAGCACTAACCCCCATCTCTTGAGCCCCGATCCCAGGCCCCCGACGCCATGATTTTTTCATGACGCCCACCCTCAGAGGTCTCGACCCCTTCCCCGGAGCCGGCTTCTCATCCCGAGGGCGCTTCTTGACGGCCCCGTGGCCCCCGTGAGGGCCCCCGGAGGCGAAGATAGCTCCCGCCGTGATTTTGGTCGCGGCTCGAGGGGGCGACCCTCGCCCAGGATTAAGTCGGGCCTGTCCCCCTACAGGGGGATTTTCGACGGAAAACAAAAAACAAAATTATCCCGGCAAAGCAACCTAGAAGCGATGTGTAGGAGCATATCTGGAAGCATTCCCCTTAAGATTCTGATGAGAATCCAGTTGTAGAATTCTGCTGTTCTCGCAGTCGTAGTCGCATTCGCGATGACAATCGCAGTGGCAACGGCAGTCGCAGTCACAGCCTCAGCCTCAGCCTGCCTCAGCCTCAGCCTCAGCCTGCCTCAGCCTCAGCCTGCCTCAGCCTCAGCCTCAGCCTGCTTCAGCCTCAGCCTCAGTCTGCCTTCAGCCTCGGCCTCAGCCTCAGCCTGCCTCAGCCTCAGCCTGCATCAGCCTCAGCCTCAGCCTCAGCCTGCCTCAGCCTCAGCCTGCAGCCTCAGCCTGCCTCAGCCTCAGCCTCAGCCTGCCTCAGCCTCAGCCTCAGCTTCAGCCTCAGCCTCAGTCTGCCTTCAGCCTCGGCCTCAGCCTCAGCCTGCCTCAGCCTCAGCCTGCATCAGCCTCAGCCTCAGCCTCAGCCTGCCTCAGCATCAGCCTGCCTCAGCCTCAGCCTCAGCCTGCCTCAGCCTCAGCCTCAGCCTGCTTCAGCCTCAGCCTCAGCCTGCCTTCAGCCTCGGCCTCAGCCTCAGCCTCAGCCTCAGCCTGCATCAGCCTCAGCCTCAGCCTCAGCCTGCCTCAGCCTCAGCCTGCCTCAGCCTCAGCCTCAGCCTGCAGCCTGCCTTCAGCCTCAGCCTCAGCCTGCTGCCTTCAGCCTCGCCTCAGCCTGCCTGCCTCAGCCTCAGCCTGCCCTCAGCCTCAGCCTCAGCCTGCCTCAGCCTCAGCCTGCCTCAGCCTCAGCCTCAGCCTGCCTCAGCCTCAGCCTCAGCCTGCTTCAGCCTCAGCCTCAGTCTGCCTTCAGCCTCGGCCTCAGCCTCAGCCTGCCTCAGCCTCAGCCTGCATCAGCCTCAGCCTCAGCCTCAGCCTGCCTCAGCATCAGCCTGCCTCAGCCTCAGCCTCAGCCTGCCTCAGCCTCAGCCTCAGCCTGCTTCAGCCTCAGCCTCAGTCTGCCTTCAGCCTCGGCCTCAGCCTCAGCCTGCCTCAGCCTCAGCCTGCATCAGCCTCAGCCTCAGCCTCAGCCTGCCTCAGCATCAGCCTGCCTCAGCCTCAGCCTCAGCCTGCCTCAGCCTCAGCCTCAGCCTGCCTCAGCCTCAGCCTCAGTCTGCCTTCAGCCTCGGCCTCAGCCTGCCTCAGCCTCAGCCTGCCTCAGCCTCAGCCTCCTCAGCATCAGCCTGCCTCAGCCTCAGCCTCAGCCTGCCTCAGCCTCAGCCTCAGCCTGCTTCAGCCTCAGCCTCAGTCTGCCTTCAGCCTCGGCCTCAGCCTCAGCCTGCCTCAGCCTCAGCCTGCATCAGCCTCAGCCTCAGCCTCAGCCTGCCTCAGCATCAGCCTGCCTCAGCCTCAGCCTCAGCCTCAGCCTGCCTTCAGCCTCAGCCTCAGTCTGCCTTCAGCCTCGGCCTCAGCCTCAGCCTGCCTCAGCCTCAGCCTCAGCCTCAGCCTCAGCATTCAAAATGTGGCCCGGGAATGAAGTTCTGGGAACTCGAAGAACACGAAGTGGCCTACAGTTGGCTCCTGGCATTCAAAATCATGCCCAGGAATGGAGTTCTGGGAACTCGAAGACCACGAAGTGGCCTAGAGTTGGCTCCGGACATTCAAAATCATGCCCAGGAAAGGAGTTCTGGGAACTCGAAGACCACGAAGTGGCCTACAGTTGGCTCTGGGCATTCAAAATCATGCCCAGGAATGGAGTTCTGGGAACTCGAGGAACACGAAGTGGCCTACAGTTGGCTCCGGGCATTCAAAATCATGCCCAGGAATGGAGTTCTGGGACCTCGAAGACCACGAAGTGTGTTACTGTTGGCAAAAAAATCGCCGGCATCCTCCCCCGGATCGCGCCCAGACCCCCCTGGGGCGTCAAGATGCTTTCTGTTGACCCTATTAGTAACCTATCAGTCTTCGCTGTTAGGTAAATTGATAGAAAATAGTCAAAAAATAGTCAGGGCATTGCTTTTTTTATTGTTGGACCTTCTTGGAGCATTTGGGGGGGAATTTTTAGTTTTTCGTCGAAGATCCCCCTGTAGGGGAACAGGCCCGACCAAAGCCCCGGATCACTCCTGCGGTGCAGCCGAGGCAGGGCACGGCCATATGAGCTCCCATAGAGGTCCGCGCGCATCTCTCTCTGGGCCGGCGCGGGGCTCCCCCCCGCCGCCCCCGCCCCCAGCGCAGCCCGCACGCAGGGATGTCGGGAGCCTTGCAACGGGGGTCAACGCAGACAAATACGGGAACAAAGACGGGACGTCCTCCTCCTCCTCCTCCTCCTCCTCCTCCTCCTCCTCCTCCTCCTCCTCCTCCTCCTGGGGGGGATCCCAGGTCGGGAGCCCTGAGACGGGGGTCAACGCAAACGGGGGTCAGCCAGAGCGCCCGATCTTGCAGGATCCTGCAGGGCCAGGGTCGCACTGACTTGGGCTTGGGCGCCAGCTCCTGCAGGATGTTGCAGGATCCTTCGCACTGACCCGTGCTCGGGTGCAGGATCCTGCAGGAGTCTGCATGGCCTGACTGACCCGGGTCTGGGTTGACCCGGGTCAGCAGGTCCCCGATCGGGATAGTGGGATGTCGGGCCCGGGACGGGGGCCCAGCACCGCACGAAGAAGTCCGCGCGGCTACGGTCAATCGACGAAGAAAAAACACCATGAACGGAAGCTGCTGTCGCTCTGTGCGGATTTCTTGGATCCGCGTTGGGCCCCCCCGGCGGCGCCCCCGGCGCCGTCCTCGGCGCGCTCCGCGCGCCAGGGAGGGGGGTCCAGCGCAGATCCAAGAGACCCGCGCGGAGCGCAACAAGTTTGTGCTTATGCTGTTTGTCATCTTCTGGTCAACCCGCACAGCAAGGAGGAGCGACTTTCCAAAGTTACTCTTGCATGCTGCCCATTCGGCCCCATCCTTGGCCGCTTTCGCTGGCCGCGCCCCGCTCGCAAAGTGTCGGCATGGCCTTCCAAGGTCCTTGCATCCTTGTCGCGCGTCCTCCTTATTAGTCATGCGGTTTGACTGTGTCCGAACGGTCCTGCTTATGCTCACGCAAATCGTATCCTGCTCCCCTAGAGGCGGAGGAGTTCTGCCGGACCAACCGCCTCGACGAGAAAGCAGTGCAGAATCTACTGGGAGAGCCCCCGCACATCCAGCGCGTCGTCATGGACCGCGGCCCCGTCGCGGACTGCAGGAACCCTAGCTCGGCCCTGATTGGCCGAATCCGCGACGCGAAGATGGACTCCAAGTATGGCCCTGGAGGCTCCGCCAGCAGCGACGTGTCAAAGTCCAGTTCGGGCGGCATGGGCAGCCTGGCCGGCTTCAACGCCGTCTACGGGGCCGCTCTCGGCCTTGGCGGCTTCGGCTTCGGCCAGGGGGGCGGCGCCTCAGGCGGCATGGGCGGGATGGGCCTGGGCGGCATGGGCATGGGAATGGGAATGGGCGGCATGGGCATGGGCATGGGCGGGGGTATGTGTGGTATGGGCGGCATGGGTGCCATGGGCGGAATGGGCGGACTTGGCGGAATGGGCGGTATGGCTGGAATGGGTATGGGTGGCATGGGCGGCATGGCTGGCATGGGCGGCATGGGGGCCATGGGTGGCATGGGAGCCATGGGTGGCATGGGAGCTATGCAGGGCATGGGAGGCATGGGCGGCATGGGTGGCATGGGCATGGGCGGTATGGGCGGCATGGGTGGCATGGGCGGCATGGGATGCATGGGCGGCATGGGAGGCAGCAGCGGCACTGGCAGCGGCAACATGGGCGCCATGGGTGGCATGGGCGGCATGGGTGACATGGGCAGCGGCAACATGGGTGGCATGGGCTCCATGGGTGGCATGGGCGGCATGGGAGGCAGCAGCGGTACCGGCAGCGGCAACATGGGCGCCATGGGTGGCATGGGTGGCATGGGTGACATGGGCGGCGGCAATATGGGTGGCATGGGCGCCATGGGTGGCATGGGCGGCATGGGAGGCAGCAGCGGCACCGGCACAGGCATGGCCGCTATTGGCGACATGGGAAGCATGGGCTCAATGGGAAGCAGCAGCGGCACAGGCGCTGGTAACACGGGCGGCATGGGCGCCGCGGGCGCCATGGGTGGCATGGGCGCCATGGGAGGCAGCAGCGGCACCGGCATGGGCAGCATGGCCAGCATTGGCGACATGGGAAACATGGGCTCAATGGGAAGCAGCAGCGGCACAGGCGCTGGTAACACGGGCGGCATGGGCGACATGGCCTGCATGGGCTCCATGGGAGGCAGCAGCGGCGCTGGTGCTGGCAACACAGGCGGCATGGGCGATATGGGAGGCAGTGGTGGCATGGGCGCCAGCAGCTTGGGCGGCATGGGCGGCATGGGCTGCAGCAGCGGGGCAGGCGCTGCTGCCCTTGCTGATCCCGGAGGCTTCTGCTATTCCGCCAGCACCCAGGCAAGGTATTCGGGACAATATCCTGTGTTACTCGGGCGCTCAAGGGAGGCCAAAGTGGAGAAGGAGTGGTACGATGCGTGGTACGATGCAACGGAGGTGGAGGAGAACTGGAGGGCGCGGAGGAGGGGGATCGGGGAGGAGGGGGAGAGGAAAAGGGGGGAGCCGAGAACCAGGGAGCACCACGGAGAGGAGTAAGGGAAGCCAGGGCCTGGTAAAGAAGGCATGAGTTCGAGTGGCCAATGGTCGACGAGCCGAAATCCTTCACATCAGTAATTTTGGGTCTCGGAGCCCACAGGGCGGTTTTTCATGTTTTCCATTCGACGTTCCATGAAGCCCGATGTCATTCCGAGGCCGCGCGCCGAACGTTTTCGATGTCGCGTCGCGTTATGCGATGTCACGTGCGTTGGGGTCGTCAAAGGCTTGCGTGCTTGTTGCGGATCGGTTGATGTGGGCTGGGGTTTCTCAGGATTGTACATTTGCTTTGCGCTGGGGCGGTTTCGACCCCCATCCCTGGCTGATCCACCCCGCGGGTAACGTCGCAGGAAGAGTTCGATCATTTCGTTCGTAGTGCCAGCGATGCTGTCGCGGACATTGACCGCGCCACGGGGGGGGGTCGTCCAGAAATTTCCTACCATATTGCAGTGTTGGTTCTTCGTTTTGAAGAGACACCGCCCCGCGTCATTCCTTCCGGCCCCCTCCCTCGTCCTCCCTCTTCGCGTATCTGCCCCTGCTCTCCGCGTGTCTCCGTCGTCATCGTCCATCGTCATCGTCGCCATCACCATCATCATCAGCATCATCAGCATTCTCGCCGTCTCCATCATCAATACCACCACCATCCTCATCAACATCATCAAAACACCCCCCTCGTTCCCCCGCGTCTCGGCTTCGCCACATCCCCCGCAAGTCTCGTGGCCTTGTGATCGGCAGGGTCCTTAGTGCGCCGCCCAGCCCATGTCGGCACGCCCCTCAGACGCTTCGTGTCCCCATGAGGAGCTCATCGGAGGTCCCGGCGGCAAGGTCCACATGCCGTCGCCCAGGCCACATTGATGACACCCTCAAACATTTCGTGCCCCTATAGGCAACTCCACCCCAAAAAGGTCCCAGCGGCAGGATTCCCAGGCCGCCGCCCAGCATATTTCGGCATACGTTTCACACGCTTCGTGGCCCCACGGGGAGCTACACAGACGGCCCCACAGGCAGGGCCCACAGGCCGCCGCCCAGCCCATTCCGTCATACGCTCACAAGCTTCGTGGCCCCATTGGGGAGCACCCCCGATGGCCCAAGCGACAGGGTCCACATGCCGTCGCCCAGCCCATGTCGTCCACGAGTGGCGCCCAGCACGGCTCCAAGAGCGCCCCAAGAGGCGCCGAGTAAGTTGCACCCTCATGCAAATAGTTTTTGTCACTTGTGGGGGTCCTCTTGGGGCCCTCTTGGAGCATTCTTGGGGCCCTCTGGGAGCGTTCTTGGGGCCTTCCCGGGGCCCCAGTGGGCCCTCGGAGGGCCCCAAGAACGTTCCCCGAGGGCCCCAAGAGGGACCCCCCAAAGTGGTACAAAGAATTCGCGCGAACGTGCAATCTGTTGTAGGCCTTTCGGGGCCCTCTGGGAGCTCTCTTGGGGCCCCCATTGGTGGCGCCTTGGGGCCTTGGGATGGCTCCAAGAGGCTTCGGGATTGCCCCAGACCGCCACAAGACAGCTCCGAGACGGCCGTCGAGCACCACGGGTGAAAGCAAGTGAGGCTAGGGAACAGGGCCTCTGGTAAGCCGCCACTGCGCCCCCTGGACTACCCAGACAGCGAGGGGACCTGAAACGCCCTGGGGCTCCAGGGGCCCCAGATTAGTGAAGTGAAGGTTTTTGCCATGCAAGCACCCCGAAATTCTTCACTTCACTAAACCGGACCCAGGACGAACTCGCTACGCTCCAGTCCCGCGGGAGATCCAAGACTCCCGCCGCCGCCCGGGGACGTTGCTGCATTGCGGTGCTCTGGTCACTGTTAATGGCTTCCGCGGGCTGCAGCGGCTCACTTCCATGACTACCCCGACTCACGAATCCAGTGGTTGGTCTGGCTCTATGGGTTGGTTTCGTTGTGTCGGTTGATTTTATGCTTGGTTGGCGGTCGGTGGATTTCGCGTTGTTCATTGGTGTCGTGAAGTGATTTGTCGTTTGGTTGGTCAGTGCCGTTTTGTTGATTCGTGCCGTTTTGTTGGTTGGTGTCGTTTCGTTGGTTGGTGTCGTTTTGTTGCTTGGTGTCGTTTTGTTGCTTGGTGTCCTTTTGTTGGCCGGTGTCGATTTGTTGGTTTGTTGGTTGGTGTCGGTTTGTTGGTTGGTGTCGTTTTGTTGCTTGGCGTCGTCCTGGCGGCGTGGCCGATAATCGGCGGCCTGCAATGGCGCCAGGATTTGTTTCGGGCCAGCCTTGATCGCCCTCATCATTCTCATATTCGTCAGCGTCAGCACTCGTCGCCCCCATCCGCGCACACATGCGGCCCTGGTACGGCTCTCACGCGGCCCTGCGAAGGCCTTCACTGTGCTCCCCAAAGCTTTCTGAGGGGCCCCCCAGAGGCCCCAAGAGGGCACTGGAAATTGTCGCTTCCAACTCCGCCAGGCGGAGGTCAACAAGGGTCTCACTGGTGCACTTCCAGGAATCGTCGTTCGATCCTCTTGGGGCCCTCCTGGGGCCTTCTGGAGCCGTCTTGGAAGCTCCGAGCGGCTCCATGAAGGCGCCGGGCGATATCGCTTCCAATTCCGCCAGGTGGAGTTAGACCAGGGGCTCACTGAGGCCCCTTTTTGCGCCCTCCTCTGCCTTTGAAAAAGCCCCGATGGGGTTCTTCAGTGCCGTCTTAGGGCCCCTAAGAGGCCTCCAGTAGGGTATTGAAGTTATCGCTTCCAACTCCGCCACGCGGAGTTGAACCCAGGGCGGCTCTCTATGGCCCTTTCGGGGCCTTCTTAGAGCTTTTCTGAGGCCCTAAGTGGGCCCTGGGAGGTGTCATTTTCACGGGCGTTGAAAGTGACACCGCGGAGGGCCCTCTTGGGCCCTTCTTGGGGCCTCTCTTGGGTCCCTCTGGGAGCCCTCTTGGTGCCGCCCTGGGGCCTTCTCGGGGCCTTCTTGGAGCCTTTCTGGTGCTCTTTAAGTGGGCCCTGGGAGGTGTCACTTTCACGGGCGCTGAAAGTGACACATCGAAGGGCCCGCTTTCCCTCGTAGCGCTGCCCGTGGCTGGGGCATTGTGCAGCGCATCCCTCGTCGAACGTATTTTGTCGGACGCGTGGTCGAATTCCGCCAGTTCGGTCGAGATGGTGGTCAAGCGGTTCGGTTGCAATGTAGCCATGCGGATCTGAGCTTACCATTTCTTGCCATTTTGGCGGGGATCGCAGGAGCGTTTGTGTTGTGATCAACTGTGCTCGATATATCCAGCGGCAGCGTTTCATCCCAATATATTATTTTGAAAAAAGTCAGCAGGGGCCAAATTGCTGATGTGAAGCAACATAGGTCTCGTAAATGGTGCTCTTGTCTGTTGGCGCTGTCCTAAATGTCGAATGGCATTCCGCCCATCCCGCCACCGTGCCTGGGTTGTGGATCAGAGTTCTCAGGGATGTTTCTTGGGGTCTCTTCGGAGCGTTCTCGGGAGCCTCTTGGGGGCAGTTCAATCTGGGGCCTCTTGGGAGCCTCTTGGGGGCCTCTTGGAGGCCTCTTGGGGCCTCTTGGGGGCCTCTTGGGGGCCTCTTGGGGACCTCTTTGGGGCCTCTTGGGGCCTCCTGGGGGCCCCTCGGGCCCGAGGGCTTGAAATGTCCGTGGGGGTCCCCCATCAGTCCCCCCTCCTGGAGCCGTCTTTGGAGCCTCTTGGGCCATCTTGGGCGCCTCTTGGGCCGTCTTGGGGCCTTCGTGAGCCGTCTTGTGGGGGGCCTCTTGGAGGCCTCTTGGGCGTCTTGGGGCGATCTTGGGGCCTCCAGGGCCGTCTGGGAGCGTCGGGAAGCCGAAACGATGAGGGCGCCACAAACCTGCAAAAACCTAAAGCAAGTCAGCTCTTGGGGCGTCTTGGAGGCCTCTTGGGCCATTTTGGGGTCATCTTCGGCGTCTTGGAGCGGTCTTTGGACGACTCTGCGCCTTTTTAGGCTGTCTCGGGGGCCGCTTGAGGCCCTCTTGACTCGTCCTGGGGCCCGCTTGGGCCCGAGAAAATCGGGCGGGAAGATGCCAGGAACCCCAGGCGGACGGCATGCGACAAGCTCCGGGAGATGTGGCAATTTGGGGCCTGGGCCCTTAAGAGACTCCTCAGCAGTGAGGATCGAAACTTGGAGGATTCGGGGAAGGACCTGAGGGCACGCCCACTCCGTGCCCAGAGGAATGGTGGCGGATCAGCGGGCAGGTCCCCCAACTGGAGTGCCTCCTGAGACATATGAGTGCCCTCGACGCGCGTTTGCACGTGAACTTGGTTTCAAGTTGGGGCCAGCTTGGTGCCCTCTCGGGTGGTTTTGGGATCATTCAGAAGTTCTTCTGAGGTTTTGGATTGGCCTCTGCACCTTCTTGGGTCTTTCTGGGGACATATTGGATTCAATTGTTTCGTTGTTTGTCGGTGTGGTTTCGGGCCCCCCTGGAGCTGCGTAGAAGCCTTTTGAAAGTCTTCTAAGGGCTGTCCCAGAGCCATCTTGGGGCTTGTTGGGGCGCGGTTGGGCTCCTCGTGGGCACCGGCTGGGCGTCCTTGGGACCCTCTTCGACCATCTTGGCACCGTTTGAGTGCTTCTGAGGCCCATGAAGGAGCACTGGCGAGAACTCCCATACCATTCGAAAGCCATCCTTTACCGTGCCGCTCTGGCCTTTCGGGGGCCTCGCTGAGAGGAACCAGGGCCATCGCTTGGCATCGCTCGGACGTGTGCATTTTTCCTTCGGCGAGGACCATCTAGGAGCATCCTGGATCACTTGGCGATCAAACACGCACGAAACCGAAAAAACACAGGGAATGGACGTCCGAGCGATGGCAAGATCGAGGGACTCCAAAGGAGGGAGGACAGGGGAGCGGGGGAGCGTCGAAGACCTCACACGCCTCGTCACCCCCCGCCAGCGAGGGTCCGCGGGTCTTGGCGCGTCTGGCACTGGGGCCGGCGCCGGCACCGGCACCGCCACGGGCATGGCGGTGCAGCTCGCCAACGGGCAGATGGCCTTCCAGATGCCGAACGGGCAGATGACGATGATGCCCATGGAAGCCCTGGGCGGCGGCTGCAGCGGCACTCGGGGAACGAACCACGCGGCACAAACACAACAGCTCGGAGGGCCGCGCGGAGTTCTCGGATCCGCGCTGCACCCCCCTGCCCTGGCGCGCGGGGAGCGCGCCGGGTGCGGCGCTGGAGGCGCTGCCAGGGGGCCCTATGGCGCCGATCCGAGAGGCATCCGCGCAGGCCTCCGAGTTCTTATGCTCGTGTCACTCTTCCTCCCCCCAGGCATGGGCCTGGAGCAGCAGGCGACAGCCGCTGCAGGGCTCGCCGAGGGCACCCCCGTCTCGGCCTCGGAGCTGCAGACGTTCATCGACGCCAACCGCCTGGACGACACCGCCGCCCGGAACCTGCGGGCCGAGCCCGCCGCGATCCAGCGGGCGGTCCTGGACCGCGGGTCCCTGGCGGACTGCGTCAACCCGAGCTCGGCGCTCATCGGCCGCATCCGCGACGCGAAGATGCAGAACAAGTACGGCGGCCGGCCGCCCACGGCGCTGCCGGGCGGCGGTGGGCCGCTGTCCGCCGACGACGCGGCGGGCTCCGCGTCGTCGGCGCTGCCGTCGCAGGGGGAGGTGGAGAGGTTCATCGCCGAGAACCGCCTCGACGAGATGGCGTCGCAGAACCTGCGCTCCGAGACCCCGGCGGTGCAGCAGGTTGTGATCGCCAGGGGCTCTGTGGCGGACTGCTCGAACCCGAGCTCGGCGCTGATCGGCAGAATCCGGGACGCCAAGCTGCAGGTGAAGTACGGCAACGGGCCCGGCACGGACCCCACGCTGGGCCAGCCGAGCGCCAACGCCTCCGCGGTGGAGCTCTTTATCCACGAGAACAAGCTCGACGAGGGGGCGCGGAGAGCGCTGCTCGCCGAGCCCGAGCAGGTCCAGACCGACGTGATAAACCGTGGCACGCTCTCGGCCTGCGTGAACCCGAGCTCGGCGGTCATGGGGCGCATCCGCGACGCCAAGAAGGACCGGCTGCAAGCAGCCTCGGTTGGCATGGGCGGCTTGGGCGGCTTCGGCCTCGGCGCGGGCGGCTCCTACCGACCTTACTGACGACCTTCTGCTCCTCATGGACTTGGCCGGCACGCCGTGAGCCTCTGCGGCCGTGCTGACTGTTGCCGAGTCGCATCGTTATGAAAAGTGTTTTCGCATCCGGAGCCGTTACGGACTGCTCGTCGCACCAAGTCATGGGGCGGTCGTTTCTACACCAGGCAGTTCCGAACCGCCGTGGGAGCCATGCCACAGGCGAGCAAGCAAATGGCGTGCAGGCAGAAAGCTCGGGGTCTCCGCTCGGACCTCCTGGATCGGCGCCGGGAGGGTTCAGTGGGACACCGAACAAACCACGCAGCGCCTAGGAGCACACCCTGGGCAGCGCACGATGACATTAGGGGAAAAAATACATAAACATACAAACGTGGAGGTCCGCGCGGATCTCTCGGATCGGCGATGGGGCCCTCCGGCGGCGCCTCCGGCGCCGCCCCTGGCGCGCTCCGCGCGCCAGGGAGGGGGGTCCAGCGCCAATCCGAGAAGTCTGCGCGGACCTCCCAGTTTTTGTGCTTATGCTACTTTTGGCTCCCCTAGACACGAGCATCACAGCTCGGAGGTCCGCGCGGATGTCTCTCGGATCGGCGCTGGACCTGCCCAGCAGCGCCTCCGGCGCCGCCGCCCCTGGCGCGCTCCGCGCGCCAGGGAGGGGGGTCTGGCGCCGATCCGAGGAATCCGCGCGGACCTCCGAGTTTTTATGCTTATGCCACTTTTGGCTCCCCTAGACATGAGCATGGGGGACGTGGCCGACCTAAGTCTTGCCGTTGCTTGGGCACCCGAGTGCGCGCCCAAGTGCTGGGTCGTTCGGCTCCCCATCGGGCCTCCCCCGTGTCCGGAGGCCGCTCGGACCATCCTGCCACCGTGCCTGGGGCATGCGAGCGCGAGGCGCAGTGGGCACACGGCCGGGGCGGGTCGGGAGTATGCCGCGGCCTCCCGGGATGTGGGCCTCTCCGGACTCCCTTCGGCAAGATATTCCGGGGCCCCGGGTCACACCCTTGGGTGATTGCGCGTTCGCCCTGGTGAGCTCTCGATCCCCTCCTCCTCCTCCTCGTCCTCCTCCTCCTCGTCCTCCTCCTCCTCCTCCTCCGCGTCATCCTCCTCCTCCTCCTCCTCCTCGTCCTCCTCCTCCTCCTCCTCCTCCTCTCCCTCCCCCTTCTCCCCCTTCTCCCCCTCTCCACGGAGGAGTTGCATCGGTGGGGGTCACGTGGGAAACCCTGCCTCATTCTGCCAGACGGTCCGCACGGTGCTTCCTTCTCCCTAGTCTCCCGCTTTACTGCTGTCCATCAGACCGTGGGATTCGTCATGGAGCGGGACCCGTCCTTCACCCTCAGCCGCGTCATCGACATGGACGTGGGACCCTGCCTCGCAGGGTTTGGGGCGCTTGGTGGGTGAGGCGTCGGCGACTGGGAGAGTTCCACATCGGGCACGTTCACACGTTGCACTTTGTGCAAACGGGCTTGAGAACCTGTAGATCAGCAGATGCGGAACTTCACCGATCAGGAAAGCAATGAACCGAGGAATTGCACACCCAGGGTGTACGTGCAGCGTTGAGGAAGGAGGAGGAGCAGGAGGAGGAGGAGGAGGAGGAGGAGGAGGAGGAGAATGAAGGGGGGGAGAATGGGCGAGGACGAGGATGAAGGGCAGGAGGAGGGAGGAGACGGAGAAATGGGGGGCGGAAGGAGGCGCCGCATCCGGGGCAGTGGCATGAGCAGGAGATGGAACAGGGAGAACGGCGAGGACCAAGGTAAAGCCAAATACGGTGGCGGCGTTCGTTAAGCAAACCGCCCAGGGGGGCTTCAGACCATGGGGAGTTATCTGATAAGGGCGGTGGTGATATCCATGGCCAATCCACGATCGAAGTTCCACTGGCTTCGAGACCCTGGCTTCCTTATCTGTTGATTCCTTATCATTTGCCCCCACCGTATGCCCCAATGATGATGCAACACACCCTTTCTTCCCAAACCCCATCCCTTCAAGCCACTATCAATTTCCAGGCTGCTTAGTTGAGCGCCTATTTCAGAAGCGAGCGATCCAGGTGCCTGACATTATTGCGGACATGACCACCGTGATAAGGAACCGCCCTGCAAGGCTTGTAAGTGTCAGGCATGCCGATTGCAGGAACATGATCGTCAAGTATGTGTCAGGCGAAAGCTCCGATGCTAAATCGATTTGCTTTCAATTCGCGCACCTGCTCTAAAACTGTACATGTTTAAGCTTCGGGCAATAAGGTTTGAGAGACTATCGACAGAGAGTCCCATGTTAAGAAGGAGCTGCCATCCACCTGTGTGACTTCGCATCTGCCCAAGCTTCGGGACCATCAGGTTCAAACATGATCTAGCCAGCGTGGACACCAAACCGTGGCTCCTAGCTACCTGCGTTCTGCAATACATGTGGTGAATGCTACGCGATGCAATCTATGTTGTGCAATATATGAGATGCAATTAATCTTGACCGTCTTGAAGCTGTCCACTCCAATGCTCGCGCAAACATCCCACCCACCCACCCGCAACTTGGTTTGCAAAATCTCTTAAGACCGTGACGGTGGGTACCACATGGCACTTGGCAACAACAGCGACGCCGACGACGACAGCGACAACGACGATGACGACGCCGCCGACAACGACTACGACGACAGCGACGACGACTCCAACGACTTCGACGACGCCGGCAACGACGACGACGACGACACCGACGACGACGACGACACCGACGCCGACGACGACGACGATGACAACGACGACGACGATGACGACGCCGACGACGACGATAACGACGACACCGACGACGACGACGTCAACGACGCCGACGACGACGACGACGACGGCGGCGGCGACGACGACGACGCCGACTTCGACGACGACGAAGACGACAACGACGCTGACGCCGACGACGACGACGAAGACGACGACGACGACGACGTCGCAAACGAAGACAACAAGGGAGGAGGGAGGACGACGACGGCGACAACGACGACAACGACGAGGGAGGAGGGAGGACGGCGACGACGCGAACGACGAAGAAGGAGGAAGGACAGCGACGCCGACGACGGCAACGACGAGGGAGGAGGGAAGACGACGACGACGACGAACGACGACGACGACGACGACGGCGACGAAATAGGAGGGACGACGACGAGACGCCGACGACGGACGACGACGACGACGAGGGAGGAGGAGGAAGGACGACCACGGCGACAACGACGACGGAAACGACCACGACGCCAAAGAGGACGACGACGACGAACACGAGGAAAGACAGAGGACGACGTAGGCGACGACGACGACGACGACGCGGGAGGAGGGAGGACGGCGACGACGACGACGACGACGCAAGAGCGCGCGCGCACGCTTTTGTTGAAAATCCGTGTTGCGAAACCTTGTGTTTTTGTAGGTTTTTTGGACACACGATTTTGACATCCTTCCGAAACCGATAGGTTTTGAAGGTTTTCGGCATACGCGCGCGACGACGCGCTCGTCTGCACTTCGTCTCTCTTTTTTTGCAGAGGATTCTCGCGACGGCACACGCGCAAGGGCGGTCGACTAATTTCGACATGAGCACGCGGGAAGCCCGTTTTGTGGCATTTTGTGAAAATCTTGAAAAACCTATGGTTTCTTAAGATTTCGCAAGAGCTCGCGCGGAAGCTTTTTTAGCAAATCAGTGTTGCGAAACCCTGTGTTTTTGCATGTGTTTTGGAAACTCGATTGCGACATCCTTCCGGCACCGAGGGTTTTTGAAGGATTCCGGCATGCGCGCGCGACGACGCGCGCGTGCGCACTTCGTCCAATTTGTTGCAAGGGATTCGCGAAAAAGTGCTATGTTAGAACAATAAATGTCACCGCGTAGTGTTCTTTTACAAGGGAACCTCAGGGGGGGAACCGGCCTAGCTGGGATGATATGATTTCATATTTTGGATGGACGAGTGTGCAGAATATATATATATATATATGTACACATATATATATATATATGAAATTCTACAATCCCAGGGGGAAGCGTTAAGTCCGGGGGGGGTGGGTAGAGTCTATTCTCTTTTTTAGAAAGGAGAATCTACGTGGTGCAACCTTTGAACTGCAAGCTATGTGCTGCAATCTATGTTGTGCAATTTACTACCCTGCACCGCGCTTGGCCACTCCACTGCTCGCGCAAACATCCCACCCATCCACCCGCAACTTGGTTCGCAAAATCTCTTACGACCGCGACGGTGGGTACCAAATGGCACTTGCCAACGACAGCGACGACGACAGCGACAACGACGACGACGACGCCGCCGACAACGACTACCACGACACCGGCGACGTCTCCAACGACTTCGACGACGCCGACAACGAAGACGACGACGACGACGACGACGACGACACCGACGACGACGACGACGACGACGCCGACGCCGACGACGACGACGACGATGACAACGACGACGACGATGACGACGCCGACGACGACGACAACGACGACGCCGACGACGATGACGACGTCAACGACGCCGACGACGACGACGACGACGACGACGGCGGCGACGACGACGACGCCGACGACGAAGACGACGACGACGCCGACGCCGACGACGACGACGAAGACGACGACGACGTCGCAAACGAAGATGACGACGAGGGAGGAGGGAGGACGACGACGGCGATAACGGTGACAACGACGACAACGACGAGGGAGGAGGGAGGACGGCGACGACGCGAACGACGAACAAGGAGGAAGGACGGCGACGCCGACGACGGCAACGACGCGGGAGGAGGGAAGACGACGACGACGACAACGACGACGACGACGACGACGGCGACGAAATAGGAGGGACGACGACGAGACGCCGACGACGGACGACGACGACGACGAGGGAGGAGGAGGAAGGACGACCACGGCGACAACGACGACGGAAACGACCACGACGCCAAAGAGGACGACGACGACGAACACGAGGAAAGACAGAGGACGACGTAGGCGACGACGACGACGACGACGACGCGGGAGGAGGGAGGACGGCGACGACGACGACGACGACGACGCAAGAGCGCGCGCGCACGCTTTTGTTGAAAATCCGTGTTGCGAAACCTTGGGTTTTTGTAGGTTTTTTGGACGCGCGATTTCGAAATCCTTCCGAAACCGATGGGTTTTGAAGGTTTTCGGCATACGCGCGCGACGACGCGCTCGTCTGCACTTCGTCTCTCTTTTTTTGCAGAGGATTCTCGCGACGGCACACGCGCAAGGGCGGTCGACTAATTTCGACATGAGCACGCGGGAAGCCCGTTTTGTGGCATTTTGTGAAAATCTTGAAAAACCTATGGTTTCTTAAGATTTCGCAAGAGCTCGCGCGGAAGCTTTTTTAGCAAATCAGTGTTGCGAAACCCTGTGTATTTGCATGTGTTTTAGAAACTCGATTGCGACATCCTTCCGGCGCCGAAGGTTTTTGAAGGATTTCGGCATGCGCGCGCGACGACGCGCGCGTGCGCACTTCGTCCCATTTTTTGCAAGGGATTCGTGAAAAAGTGTTATATTAGAACAACAAATGTCACCGCATAGTATTTTTCACAAGGGACCCTGGGGGGGGGGGGGGAAGCCGGCCTGCCTGGGATGGTATGATTTCATATTTAGGATGGACGAGTGTGCAGAATATATATATATATATATATATAATTCTATTATCCCAGGGGGAGGCGTTAAGTCCGGGGGGGGGTAGAGTCTATGCTGTTTTTAGAAAGGAGAATCCACGTGGCGCAATCTACGTGGGGCAATCTGCATTGGGCGGCGACGAGGCGGCGACGGGGCGGCGACGGGGCGGCGACGGCGACATCAAGACAGCGGGCCCAGCGCTGAAGCGCAGACGACGGGCGGCGACGAGGCGACCAGGCGGCGGCGACGGCGACAGCAAGGCGGCGGACCCGGCATTGGAGCCCAGACGACGGGCGGCGACGGGACCGCGACGACGACATCAAGGCGGCGGACCTGGCATTGGAACGCAGGCGACGGGCGGCGACGAGGCGGCGACGGGGCGGTGACTGCGACAACAATGCGGCGGAGCCGGCAATGAAGGCCGGTCCCTCAAAATAGAAGTAATAATTTTGAAGTGCCAGCATGTTTTGAGGAGCTATCAAGCGATAGCCCCGTTTTGGAAAAGGATTTGCCCTCCATGCAAGCACGTGTTGCAGACAGTCAGGACGAATGAATGCACGCAGCGCTAATGCGGTAGCCACATTTTGAAAACGAGCCGCCCTCCATCCGTGCAACTGATGGGGATTACCGAGTATTCATGACGACGCATTGTGAACCGTGTTGCCAGGCGAAACGCCAGGCCCACCCCACCGACACGCTTGCTGGTGCGACGCGGGGAGTGGCGTATAAAGAAAAGACATGTGTTGGGAAGGGAGGGCAGTAGGGGCAAGGAAGAGGAGGACACGGCAGGAGAACGTAGGAGGAGGAGAAGGAGGAGGCGGAGGGACGTTCAAACATTCGGGCGACAGCGGGCCGCCACGGGCGCGGAGGAGCCGACGCAACCGAAAAGGCAAACGCCAGGGGCATGGCGCAGCCAGGGCGCACCCCTGCCTCCCCGCGGCTGGGGAAACAGGTACTGATATACCGCTACTCCTTCGGCCTCTCCCAGGGTGTGCTCTGACCAGAATTCCGAGGCGAACCCAGCGGTGGCGACGAGGGCCTCCCAGGAGGCCGAAAAGGGGGCAAACGGCCGAAGGGTATCGTTGTGGGTACCTTTTCCTCCTCTGAGCGGCGTCGGTCCGCGAAGCGCGCGCAGATCCCCTGGCCGCGGGCCCAAAGAAGCACGCCGGCGACCAGCTCTCGGGCGCGAGCGCCACGGGATCCCCCAGGGCCGACCCGAGAGGCACAGGAAGCCGCTCCCACGCAGCGCACAGGTCCTTGTAACCCAAAACGGGGCCCAGCCGAAAGTGGGTGGTGTAATAGTTCTGAGGCAATTCTATTGCAAATGCATTGCGCCAGAGAGCTGTATTGCATTGTACAGCAACTCGTGTGCTGCACGCGAAAGTCCAGCAATACATCTGCGCACCAAAATGTATCGTACGCCCCAAATCTAGCGCAACCCCACAACTCTATGGCACCAGATCTATTGCACCATCCCTGTTCGCTGGACCCCCTTTTGGGTCAACCAGAACAGGGGCACCAGCTTCCCGCCGCCCCGAGAGCGTGGCGGGGGCGCCTCGCGACAGGCCCCGGGGGGATGCTGAGAGCGAGGGCGCAGGAGGCGGTTCCGACAGCCCCTGCATGCGCCCAGGGCCACGCCCTCGTCCCGCGTCGAGCTGTCCCGCCGATGAGGCGGCAGCCGCCTTCCCGCCTGCTCTGCAGGCAGGGGTGCCTCAGCCACCCCCCGGTTGCCGTCGGTGAGGGGGCGTCGGAAGGAATCGATGTATACCGTCAACCCGCATAGTAAGGACGGGCAACCTTCCCAAGGGTACCATTGCATCCTTGCCTCTTCGGCCATCCTTGGCCAATTTCATTGGCCACGCCCCGCTCGAGAAGCTTCGAAACGGCCCTCCAAGGCCCTTGCATCCTTATCGCGCGTCCTTCTGAGACGGGTTGGCTGTGCACCACGTCGCTTGGTCGGCCGCCACGGAGCTGAGGAGCTCAGCGGAGGACTTCTGTGTACAGACGCTCCAGCGTCCCACAGGTTGGGAAGCTGGGGCGTCTGTACACCGAGCTCCCTGGCCGACCAAGCGACGTGGTGCACATCGAACCCCTCCCAGGGCGAAGGAGGAGATGGCGGAGGAGGAGCAAGGACGAGGGGGAGGAGGAGAAGGAGGCGAAGGAGGAGGAGGAGGAGGAGAAGGAGGAGGAGCAGAAGGAGGAGGAGGAGGAAGAGGATGAGGAAGAGGAGGAGGAGGAGGAGGAGGAAAAAGACAAGAAGGAGGAGGAGGAGGAGGGGGATGGGGAGGAGGAGATAGAGCAGGAGGACGAGGAGGAGGACGAGGAGGAGGAGGAGGAGGAGGAGGAGGACGAGGAGGAGGCGGAGGAGGATGATGAGGAGGAGGAGGCGGAGGAGGAGGAGGAGAAGACGATTAGAAGACGACTACCAACTAGGCAACACATCTCACCGACATGCAGTTGGCGCAATGGCAGAGAATTACGCCTAGCGGCGCGTTTTGCGCCGACTCTGCCGAACGACGGTGGGGGTCCCATCGGGCCAGATGGCTTTTCCGCTTTTGGGCGGAAGCTCCCAGCGCTGAATTTCATCGAGGGCCTCTTCACCCGCTGGGGTGGGGTGGCCTTTACATGGTCCGACAATGCCCGGTCCCAACCTCCCCCCCAGTGGGCGTTTTGGACCCCAGGCACCCGCACCTCCAACATAATGTCTGGCCATACATACTAGCTGAAGAATGAGATTCCTGGACCACCTTACCCCCGACCCGAAAGTTGGCGGGAGGCGCACAGGACGGCCTTGGGACTCTACTCGATGGAGCTGGGCCCCCGGGCACTTGCCCCTGGCGAAGCCAATCGACCACAGAGAATGTACCTCGGCCGCTCTGGCAGTGGCTACATGCCCAGGAGGAGCCTGCCCTGGAGAGCTGGTGTCCCGAAGCTTGCCCGAGCTCCCTCCTTGCGCGCCAGGTTTCACGAACAGGGGCCTTACACGGGAAGCTCTTGCGCTCGATTTCGGATTTCGCAGCAGCAGCATTCGTTATGGCCAGCCTTCTCTGGACGAGCCACGCTTTGAATTCCAACCTGGCGAGGTCTCTGGCCTCCGATTCAATATCGTGCGAAACCTGCCCAGCTCCTAGCTGGGCATGCTTGCTGGCTAGATCATGTCCCCGAGTGGCAAAGGGGGGCTGGTCAGTAGAGGCGAGGGAGGTGCGGTCTAGGTGAGAGTTACACTTACTGGGCATGACTCTACGTCCTTGGGCCTCAGACCTGATCCTTCTCCACCACCCTTCCAGAGTTCCAGGGGTGTCCGAAAAACCTTGCCAACCGTCGTGAACTGTCTGACTGTCGGTGTTGAGCCATGTGGGACCTCTCGTTAGCTTCAGGGCCCACCAGAGGGCCGCCAACTCCGCACACGGAAGTGTCTGGGCTCCATCAATCCCCACACAGGTTCTTGGACGAGGGGCACCAGAGTTGTGTTCTTCTATTCTCTGCGCAGGCTGGGCAAAGTATACGCTCCAGCCTGGCTGTGCGCGCGTCGCTGCTCTAGACCGAGCCGTCCAGGAAGGCCGGCTTGCAGTCGAAGCGCTGCTGGTCGGTGACGGAGCCGCCGGGCAGCACAGGGATGTCGTCGCAGTCCATGGCGTACGGATACCAAGGTTCGCCCCATGCGGGCGGTGGGGGGACACAGTTCCACGGTCGTGGTACCTGGCCTCTCTCCCAGAACTCTACGCTATCCCCCGTGGTGGGATCGCGTGCGGCTTCTTCTCGGAGTCGGTCACTTTGGCAAATCCACGGGTGGTCTTGTGAACAGGTGTGCGCACGGCTCCAAACTCGGTGAGCCATGGCCTCCTTCTCTCCAGCCTGGCCCTTCTGGCGAACTCCATCGCACAAGTAGCCCGCGGCCTGGCACCCTGGCCTCTGTCCAGACAGCGTTGCAACAACGACTGCCTCGAGAGCTCCAGCCTCTCGGCGACACTCTGCACGTCGCATGCGTCGAAGAGTGCGTGCGACGGATGTGGCGTCAGGCAAGGAACTCCATTCTCCTTCGACTTGGTCCTTGGCTGCCTGACTCCACAGCTCTTGAAGCATGACTGAAACCACAACGGCCATCATCCCGCTGGTGTCGTCCGACTGGGAGTCTGTGAAGCTGGTAGGTGTCGCACATGTCGTAGTTGAGGAAGGCTGCTGATTGAGGTCTGCCGTCGTTCGAGTACCTTCTCCAGTGAGGTTGCGTTCTCCCGGGGCATCCAAGACAGACACCAGACCTTCCGACGGCGTTCTGAGCGGGACGGTCATGGCGGCGCCGTTGCTATGTTGCCACCTGGCGAAGAGGGGCTGTCGGTCGCAGTCCTGGCCAGGCCTGGAATCCTGGGATGCCTCCCTAGACGTGGTTGGCTGCGACGAGGACGGCTGGCAAAGCTCTATAGGCGATAGCCTGTATCTAATGGATTCTAATGGGACAACACTGTCCCACCGACGCTCCGTCCTCGAAGTCCTCCTCCACATCATTGAACGGGTCGTGCTCGCCATCCATGGTCGTGGCGCCGGCCTGGATCTCAGACTGACGTCGGTGAGCAGAAGCACGTTGTGTTGAGGGCGAAGGTGATGTTGTGGCCGCTGCTGCTGTAGCAGGAGGAGGAGGAGGAGGAGGAGGAGGAGGAAGGGGACGGAGAGGAGGAGGAGGAGGAGGAGGAGGAGGAGGAGGAGGAGGACGAGGAAGAGGAGGAGGAGGAGGAAGAGGAGGAGGACGAGGGACGAGGAGGAGGAGGAGCCCCTCGCGCCAGGTGGGAAAGCACATCACGGAGCTGCAGGAGATCTCGGACTCCGCCTCCAGGAGTGGCCCGGCGGAGGGAATGCAGGGGCGCGAGGATGTGGAGAGAGGGAGCAGCCCGTGCCGTTCCGTGCTCCGTGCCCCTGCCGCCGATCTCGGAGCAGGAAGCGCTCGCACTCGGCGCCGCAGGGGGCGTTCTGTAGGTCGCGCCGCGCTCGAGGAACAGATGAAGCCCGTGGGGACATCTAACCCGACCACCACAATTCCAGAATTGGCGTTTACTGACAAGCAGCGTCCCGTGCGATTTCTTCGATGGGGGCGGCCAGTGCGTTCCGTGCTCGGTGCCCTGCCGTCGTTCTCGGAGCAGGAAGCGCCCGCGTTCCGCGCCGCAGGGGTCGCTCGGTAGGTCGCCCCGCGCTCGAGGAGCTTTTCTCCGCCGGCGGCGGGGCAGAGGCTGCTGCGCCAGCGGTCGGTCCAAGCGGTTCGACCGAAGAGCGGATTGCCCAGCGTGCAAGAGGAGAGGTTGAGGCAGACAGGGCGGCCGCGCAGGCGGAGGGAGGAGGGGGGGGGCATGCAGAGGCGGAAGGCATCCGTCCTGAGCGCGCTGGCGCGGCCAGCCTCGGCAGCGAGCGGCCGGGCCGCGGCGTCGCGCGCTCGAGGAACAGGTGAGCATGGATAAGCGGCGTTTAATGACCAGCAGCGAACCGTGCGATTCCTCCTTTGTGCGCGCTCACTACATCGTCGACAGCTTTGCTTGACGGTATGCTCCTCATGATTTCCCTGGCTCTCCAGATCAAGCTGGCATCTCGCCATGAGCATCAGCCGGCGGAAGTAGAGCCCTGGCGGCCTCGCTGGCGGAAGCTCGACAGCAGCCATCGGAAGTATTGAGGTGGACCTCCCAGGAGAGAGAGAGAGAGAGAGAGAGAGAGAGGAGAGAGTGAGGGAGGGAGGGAGGCGCCGCCAGCGTGTGCGCGGGCTCCGCACGCAGACGGCTAGACAGAAGCGGGGAGACCTTCGCATTGGGGACCACATTAAGAGGAGCTGATAGTTCGGAGCCTGTTTTAAGATCACTCTCACATGTATGTAGCCATCATCGTGCATGAGCACAACACAACACGTGTGAAGCTAGCATCGCGCATGATCGCAACACAAGCACAACACTGCACAACACAACACAGCACAACACAACACGTATTCTCACATGCACACAACACGCGTGCAGCTATCATCGCGCATCAGCAGCTGCTCTGCCAGCAGGCGCCCAGCCCCCCTGGAATTGTCTGGCCCTCTGGGCCACATCCCATGCAGGGCCGCCTGGCGCCCGCTAGAACTCCCTGACCTATTTGGCATTGTGGCGCCTCCTCAGCCCTCACCCCCCCATCCTTCCCGCTCTCCTCCCCTCCCCTCCCTCCCTCCCTCGCTCCCTCCCTCCTCCCTCCCTCCCGCTCTTCTCTCCTCCCCTCCCTCCCTCCCTCTCTCCCTCCCGTCCTCTCTGCTTGGAGCACAGGCATACAGCTTTCCGAGCTCTGCGCGGATTTCTCGGGTCTGCGCAGGACCCACACCGGCGGCGCCCGCCTCCGGCGCCATTCTGCGCGCCAGGGCGGGGGGATCCAGCGCATGGCCAAGAAATCCACGCGGACCTCCGAGAAATTATGAGAGTGCATTTTTTGCTCCATTCTGTGTATGCCGTTGCGTGTTCTTCCAGGTAAGAGGAAGGGCGAGAAGGAGAAGCAGCAAGCGGGGGCGTCGAGGGGGCGAGAAGGGAGGAGATGGAGGTGCATGGGGAGAGGCAAAAGGGGGGATAGGAAGGGGGGTTCGGGGGTTGGGTGGCCAGCTAGGTGCGCTCGCGTCATATCTGACGTTCTACCCATCCCTTCCATCCCTTACCATGGCGTGCATCTCTTCTCTATTCGCACAATCGGATGTCGCAGCATGGCGTAGCATTACATGGCATAGCATGGTGTTGAAGATCAACGCGTAGCATGACATAGCATGGCGTGACGACGCCCCAAATTGTGGGGGGGGCTTCTGCGGCCCAACATATGAACGAATCGACACCGAATGTGTAATCACTTCCCATGGTTTCTTCGGGAGGCCATTTTCTATATTTTAGAGCATATTTGCAAGGACCGAAGACCATGCCGTGGCATGGCACTGGAAAAAAATACGCCAGCGCTGCAGCGGGAACACGATTCAGAACGAGCGGAAGCGCGGAAATGAGGCCAGCGCTTCAGCGGGAACACGATTCGGGAAGCGGAGTGTGACATGGCATGGCGTGGCGACGCCCCAAAGTTGGAGGGGGGGACGAATCGACACCGAATGTGTAAAAATGCCCGATGGTTTTTTCGGGGAGGCATTTTTTAGATTTTGGAGCATATTTGCAAGGACCGAAGACCATGCCGTGGCATGGCGCTGGAAATAATGACGCCAGCGCTACAGCGGGAGCACGCTTCGGAACGAGCGGAAGCGCGGAAATGAGGCCAGCGTTGCAGCGGGAGCACGATTCGGAACGAGCGGTGGCCCGAAAATGAAGCCAGCGCCTCAGCGAGACCAGCCCTTTGCTGAACAAAATGAAGAGAACCTAGCGACAACCCGTGTCCGGGGAATCTCGTGAGGGAAAAACCAGTACGCGGAGGGGGGCCGGCCATTTCCTGGACGCCACCAGGGGAGAGAGGAGTAGTATTCATATTGTGCAGCTGAGGAGGAGGAAGACGACGACGATGACGACGACGAGGACGAGGACAAGTCTACAGAAGGAGGACGAAGGCCCCCGTCCGCCCGCCGCGGGCGCAGCGACGCTCGCAGGGAGTACAGCCTCGAGACGACCCTGTCGGCAATGACCGAGCAGTGGGCCCCGGTCGTCTTCGAGGTGAAGCCCTGGAAGGAGGGCGGCCTCGCCGTGCTCTCTTCGCCCCCGGCGGCTCACGCGGGTTTCTCGGTGCACGCCTTCGGGATTCTGGAGTCGTGTGGGTGCGTGCGGGCGCGCATGTCTGTTTATGTGTGTTGTGTGTTTATGTGTGTTTATGTGTGTTTGTGTGTTGTGTGTATGATATACGTGTTGTGTGTGTTGTATGTTGTGTGTGTCGTGTGCGTGTTGTGTGTGTGTGCGGTATGTTGTGTGCAGTGTTGTGTGTGCGCGTGTATAGGTGTTTGTGTGTATAGGTGAATGTTTGTGTTTGTGTTGTGGTTGTGTTTGTGTTTGTGTATGTGTGTGTGTGTGTGTCAACCTGCGTGTATGTGTGTGCATGCGTTTCTAGTTTTGAGAAACATGAGACGTTTGCAACACATGTGTACTGGCACTGGCAGTTTCTTAACATTTGCGTGTCCTACAGGGTTGTAGGGTTCACATGTGCATCTGTTTTGCGACCGCTGTCGGTTCGTGCCCGAGGCGGTGTCGCTTTACATATTTAGGTCGACGAGCAAGCCATCACGAGTGATGGTATACATGTGCATGGGTCTGTGATTTGACATTGTCACGGGGGATCAGTGCTCTGAGCGTTTGCCGACTCTGGAATGAAGTCTCTCGATATCGCTGTCTTCTTTTGGGGCGTCCGATCCAGAAGAGGCTGAGTATTGGACATTCACGGTCCTAAGGGAACTCCGAAGGACCGCAAGGGGGAGACCAAAAACATTGTTACCTGGTTGGCACTTTCTACCTCCTTAAGCTCTTCACCATCGTGTGTTTGAGTCCGTCTGGAGCCAATGTGTGCGATTGGTGTTCCGTAGCCAGTTTGGCTCAAGTCAATTGTGGTTCGTACCATATTTCGCCAAGCGTGCTTGCCGCCTCGTGCAGGTGCATCCGCGAAGCCCCGGACAAGAGAACGACACGCTGCCACAGTCCCCGCTGCGATGTCGTCTGCCGGCGGCGCTTCACCACCCCTCGCGGCTGCACTGGCGAGCGCGCGCGCGCCGCCGCGGCCCGCCTCGGCAGAGGCCCCCCGCGGCCGCGCACCAGGGCGCGGCTGCGGGGGCCGCAAGGCCGAGGACGAGGCAGGCGGCTCGGCCGGCAGGACCGCCCCGGCGGCGCCGCCGGGGCCCCCTCAAGGGCGGCGCAGCGAGCGAGGGCCACGGCGCAGCTGCACCGAGCGGCGGCGCCAGCAGCTCGCGGAGGTGCTCGCGCGCCTGGCCGCGGGCCCGCCGGGGCTGCAGCGGCAGGCCGGTGCGGGCCGGGAGCGGCTGGGCTCGGTGGTGGCGGGCGGCGTGGGCGAGCCCTGCAGCCCGGCGGTGCGGCTCGAGGAGGAGGACACGGCCATGGGGCCAGGCTTCGGCGCGGTCGGCGTCGAGCTTGCGGGCCCCACGGTGGTCCGCGAGAGGCCAGAGAGGTTTTGGGTCAAGGCCATCACCGTGGGGGCTTCGAAGGAGGAGACGAGGCTGAAGGACATCGAGAGTAGTGAGAAGCAGCAGGCGACAGAGGACGACCTAGTTGCCATCAGGTCGAAGCTCGAAGACCTCACCCTGGAGGAGAGCCTGGAGGAGTATGGCCTGCTCGCCAACGACTTGCTCGACGACCATGGTCAGGCTGGCGCCACGATCGTACGGGACGTGCGCTCCAGCTTGGCCCGTGCGACAGCAGCGCTGCATTGGCCCACGCCCGTAGTCGGGGCCTCTCCGACTGAGTCGATGACATCTCGTGTCGTGGCGGAGACCAGCTCTGACTTAGGCCCGACGTGGGGGTCTGCCCTGCACTCGGATGGTACGTGCCGCCCCTGCTTGTTCGTGGAGCGCGGCTGCAAAAACGGTGACAGCTGCCCGTTTTGTCACATTTGCGTTCCATCCGAGAAGAAGCGGGCTTCTGAGAAGAAGGGGAAACAGTTCTCGTGGCGCTGCCTCCGCAAAGCCACCGTCTCCAGGCGAGGGCGAGACCGCGCGTCTCATTAGATCTTGCCGGCGGGGCGAGGCCAAGTTGAGCTGGGGTTCTGACCAGTGTCCAGTTCTGCCATCTTGCGAATTTGTCCACGGTGCGAGCTACCGCTGGTCTGCACGCGGCTGTCCAAGAGAGCCGCGCGGACCTCCAAGAGTCTAGTATAAGTTGTACTACAACTCCTTCTTCTTTATCTACTACTACTACTACTACTACTACTACTACTACTACTACTACTACTACTACTACTACTACTACTATTACTACTACTGCTACTACTACTACTACTACTACTCCGACTCCTACTCCTACTCCTACTCCTATTCCTACTCCTACTCTTACTACTACTCCTACTACTACTACTACTACTACTGCTACTACTACTACTACCACTACTACTACTACTACTACTACTGCTGCTGCTACTACTACGACTACGACTACGACTACGACGACTACTACTACTACTACTACTACTACTGCTACTACTACTACTACTACTACTACTACTACTACTACGACTACTACTACTACTACTACGACTACGACTACGACTACGACTACTACGACTACTACTACGACTACTACTACTACGACTACTACTACTACTACTACTACTACTACTACTACTACTACTACTACTACTACTACTACTACTACTACTACTACTACTACGACTACTACTACTACTACACTCCGAGCTAGAGGTGGCAGCTCTGATCTTGCAGGTGGCCGGGTCTCAGTTTTTCCCGCCGCAGATCAGCACAAGTCTGTGCCACATTTGCTTTGCAACGCAGCAGCTACAGCGGCGTTGCTTTTAATCGGGACGTTGGGGCTCGAGGGGTGCATCGTACAGCTTGTTTCTGTCCATCGCGAATGCACCCACACCTATCCGTAAGGGCTTCGCCCACGGCCGCCGGCACCCTCTTTATCAGAGTGGAATCGCTAACTGTCTAGCACGAGGATAACGTCGCCACGCCTCACATGTCTAGATTCCTTTTCCGGGCTCGTGGGTCGATCCGGTGTTGTACCACGAGAATGAGCATTATGCTTGTCTTACAGCAGCTGCATGCAAAGGATTGTATAGGCGCATGCGCGCAGTTGCCAAGGCAGGAAGAGTAGTTTGATGCACGCCAGTGAGTGTTTAAGCGGCACGTGTGCAACTGTTGCCAGCATGGCCCCAGGTTCGTTCTGGAGGGCTACATGTTTCCGTTGCCCGTTGGTCAGGCTATCTCTTCCGTTTGCATCATGTCGTCGTAGAACAGAAGTAAGACTCCCCAAGCGCAAGCAATGCTCCGACCAATGCATCCGTGGGGGCGGCAGAGCCGCGGGAGTCGCCGGGCCAGGGAGTGCAGAGCGCTGCTTGGCGTCCTCGGCTGCCTGGCCTTTTCGGCCTCGGGCCTCCAGTCTCACCCAGCAGAACTTCTCTATGGAAGAGCTGCTGGCGCCCTGGCTCGGCAGCGGTCGCTCGTGGAATTGGAGGCCAGGGCCAAGAGGGCCCGGTACGGTAGGTTTAGGTCGGGCGTGTCTTTTCTGGAGGAGGACTACTCAATCCGCTCTTTCACATTTCAATGCAGTAGAAGCCGTTTTGCGAGCGATGAGACCCTGAGCTCGCGGTAGAAGTGCCCCTTATCCTCATGTTGTTCCTCTCTCCTCCTCACTTGCTCGTTGTTCTTCTCCTCTGTTTCCTCCTGCATGGGCCATGGAGGAAGAGAGGCGGTGAAGTTGGAGCAGAGAGGCGGCCGTAATGGTATATTGTTCTCTGATGAGCTCTCCGCGAGGCCAGCTCTATGTCAACTACAGACAGCGACCTCGCGCGTTTGCACCTCGCGCGTTTGCATCTCGCTTAGCAGTAGAAACTGTTTGGCGAGCGAGGAGACCCTGAGCTCGCGGCAAAAAAAAATGCGATTGGTGTACTACCGACTCATTTCCACATTCTCCAAATTCATATCCGTGTTCTTGTTGAGTACGGTATTGCTACTTTCTGTGGACAATTGAACAATAACGATTGCTGATCAGTGTACATCTCGTCAAGGCAAGTTCGGCGCAGAGATGGCAGGATATCTCGACCACAGGGCCGCTTCACGTCTCCTTGCAGGAGGCTGCCGGTCGGATGCTGCTCTACGCGAGGCTTTCCAACATCTGTGTGCATCGGGCAAGGGTCTGGCCTTTCCGTCGTTGCCGTTAAATAAATCCCAGGACGACGCAGCCAATTATTCTCCGATTTCTTGTCCACGATCCTGTGGCAGCTGTTCGTGGGTGTGCTTCACCCGGTCTTCCTTCGAGCCCTCGGCCTCTTATTCAGCGGTCTCCTCCAGCACCTTCGTTTATTTACCCTTCCCTCACCTTGCGCAGTTTGGATCAGTTTGGCAGGGATGCGCTCACGACTGTTGCGCATGTCTCCACCTTCTTTCTGTTTCGAACGGACTCCTGGGAAGTCGACGTCAAGCCTGGTGGGTCCTGATGGCCATGCGACCCATTTTCCACGTGACGTCGAAAAAGTACTTGCCCGAAAAGGCCCCGCGAATTTTCCAACACGATCGAAATCGTCGGCCTCGCGCGCATGCAAACAGCTGGTTCTTCCGGCGGCTTCCATGGAGTCGGGGACGATCGATCGGTGGTTTACCAACTCGGGATTCGTAGTCGTTACATTGGCCAGGCCTCCCAGATGCGGAAGCTAGGCAGTATGCATGGGCTCTTCTCGTAGGGAGCGTGAACACCGCCAAGCGTGGACTCAGGTTGTTGTGGGAGCCAGCAAGTAGGTGAGCCCGCAGAGCCGCCGAGATCACACATTGTCGAAGGGTGATGTGGGCTCCTGTTTCTGTTCTTATCCTGGACATCGCTGACAAGAGCGACGCGCAAGCATTAGAGTCTGCATTCGTTAATCCCCATCGAGCCGAGACCAATCTTGTCCCCACTCCACGACCCCGAGGCCACCGTAGACGCTCTCGTCGCCGACAGCTCCAGATGTGCTAGCTCGCCGTGTCGACCGTTGAGGGTCTTCAAAGATCGCGATGATGAAT